ACACAGCTATGTCCTTACCTCGTAGGAGAGTCCATCTCTAACATGTCTGACCCTTTCCTGTAGGAAATGTCTGACCTGAGTCTATCACTATGTCTCGGAGACACGACACGATAGCAGCTGGGTCGCGACTCTCGACTTGTGGATGCGGGAGTCTTGGTGTGGCTTGAGCCCCATCCAGCGTATACGAATACTGGACACCGTTCTTCAGCCACTTCATTCCTAACGTCGCGAAGGGACACCGGAGGTGATCAGTCCTCGAAAGAGGCGGGTAACGTTCGGATGGTCTTGGGGACAGAGTCCACCACTACCCTGCGACATGCGGCCGATCAAATTCAGCATTCACCTACGGAACAAAGAGTCATGCACACTCGGAATGAGGCCATTCAAAATTTGGGTCGCTGCCAAGATTGCCAACTCCACGGACTGATAGTGCGATCTTCCCCCCCCCCAAAAGTACTTAGGGTTGAACTCTAATTGGATAGCACTCGCAGCATTCGCTATAGCACGCACCGACTCCACACGAGGAAGCAAACCTTGTTCAGCTGTCGCGGAATGCTACAGCCTACCGTGGTGTGCGGCAAGCTCCCGGGATTGCATGTATTATTATCCCACGGTGAGACTCTTGGTGCATGAGTCAAACACCTCGGCCTCCAAGGGCAGAGTCTGGGAGCAAGCGTGGGTCGCGGGCATCTGGGAATGCTTCATGTCATGGACGGGCAACAGATCTCCAACCCGCGATTGGTTATCGGGAAAGAGGGAGGGATGATGCGCAGGGCCAAAGGATGGTCCTTCATGATCGACGCGAGCGCGTCCCCCCGCGGAATCGACCTCCCGGAGAAAGGAGTGGGACCTTGGATTGCTATCTGCACAATGCACAATACCTGCGCCCTGCCAGACAATAGCTCTCTGCCTTGGTGGGGGTATATCTGAGAGTGAGAGGGAGAGGAAAGAGCAAATCAAGGACCCCACGTCCGACGGATACCTGTGTCTCATACTCCGACTCGTGCGGCCGGGGCAAAAATGGCATGATGGTGGATTGGTATCAGATAAGAACTCGAGATGGATGGGGGGGCAACGAGCTCCGTTCCATGGATCGCGGTGGTCCATTTTCCCACTTCTCCAGCACAACACGAAAAAGGGAAAGCACTGGGCAAGTCCCAGAATGAACAATGCACACGCCAAAAATGGCCATTGTCATTATCTATTACGCGAGACGCTCGAAAAATAAAACCAATAGCAGAACCGCGGGTTGGTTGATCACACGGGAAGCTGGACCGGACCGATAACTAGGTATTCCGTACGATACTTACTAGGGCTTCCAGCTGCCAACTTTTTCGCTTCCTGCAAGGACTTTCTGGGCTTCAAACTGATTGGAACCATGGATCGATGTCAAGCCTCACACGTATGTACCGCTGGTTTATTTTTATTTCTTCGGGTTCGGTTGAAATAGGCAGGCACAGACGATTTGATTGCTGGGATGAGGGCTTGCTTCTATGCGAGCCGAGCAAGCAAATGAGCAAGCGAGCGAACGAGCCAGCCAGCCAGCGAGACGAGGCGAGGCGAGGCGAACAACGAGAGAGCAAGGACGCTTTCTCTGATAGCGTTGCTTGATCATTGCTGATGTTGCATGCAACATCAATCCATTCGATAGAGAGCCGCAACGAGCAGAATTTGCAGCTGCAAAGTACGTCGACAGCTGCAGGGCTTACTGGCTTAGCTGACTAGTGTGTTCCTGCACTCTGCAAGTTTGCACCACCATCGCACAGCCCCATGACCATCGAATCGGGCTGAGGAATTGCCTTCAGGCTCCTTACGAATTACGACGACTTTCAGGCCCCAAAGCAAGCCGTTTCCTTGACAAGAATGAGGACCAAAGTCCCGTCAGCGACCCTTCTGCCCTCCTCCGCCCCATGATCACTGCATTAGTCCCTTCCCAGGGCACCTTCAGAACATCCACTCGTTCCCCGGGGATCTCTCCGTCTTGGATAAGTTGATCTATAGTAGTCGCACGCCTGGGCCTCGATTATCTGACCATGGGACGGCCGGGCATGGGGCCGTCCGGGCCGAAGTCAGCGAAGGAAGCGAGGCTTGCACAAGCCCCTTTTGGCCTTCTTCACACCACATAAGCATCCTTCAGGAATCCTTCAAGGCATGGATGACAAAATATGGGGAGGGGCAAACAAGGCGTGCCTTTGGGCGCTGGTGCCAGCAGCGTTGACGCCACGGACAAAAGCACACAAGGAAAAAACATGGATTGGAAGGGAAAGGAAAAAGCAAATATCGACCCCAAAAATCAGACTGAAGAAATCCTCGGGATCAAGAATCAACAAGCAAACCGGCATAGACTACCGATAAGCAAGCACACAAACACACCCACACACACAAAGCAACGAAAAATGAGGCAGAGAGAGAAAATTTTCGCTCGACACGAGAAAACAAAAGTAAACGAGGCAGCAAGCAAAAAGGGAAATAGGCCTCAGTGGATGGTAGTTTAGATCAAGCTCCCCTTGATCGTGGGGAGTCAGTCTCTTCCTATCATATGTTTATACATCCAATGTGTCTCATCATCAGCCCATAATAATATGATTGTGGGAGAAGAAGAGGAGGAGAAGACAGCAAAAAAAAAAAGAGACCCGAGCATCCCGCTCACCGCCCGAGCTCACTAAGCCTCTTCCGTCATCCTCAACGACCGCGCCGGCGGCGACTTAGCCGAGCCTCTCCTCCGGACTAACTCGATCCCCCGCTCCGTCCCCACTCCACCACTATAAAAACTCCTCCTCCCTGTCGACCACCACATTTTTCTTTTTTCTTTTCTTTCTTCGTGCGGCGACGCAACTATTACATTCACCCGTGTTGCCTGGACATCATTCTTTACCGTGATGTTTTTCCCCAGGTGTCAGTTGCGTCACAGACGAACGGAATTGCACACCGGTTCTACTTTATTGGTCTTTCTGAATTTTTCCTACTAGGATGAGACCATTTGGTTTGGGATCGGACATTACAATTTCCCTCGTTTAAGCTTTTGCTTTCATTTCCTTAAAGAATGAAATGCTTTGCTTGGCGGGTTTATTGCTTGTAGATTGGGTCTTCGTGCAAGAGACTCGTAGTCTTTGTAGCATCAGTGGGATAATTCTGGGGATCATTCTCGGCCATCGGGACACATGTCAGGGTTGTTGCGGGTAGTACATGAGATATCATTGTATAGTTGATATGCATAGATATCTTAGATTGTATCGCCAGCTAGTACTTTGTTCGAGGGGCTGTGTGTGCTGTCTGTTGTTGACATCATGCAAGTTCTATCTGCGTGCACACTCAAGCTCGCCAGCATGAACATCCCGCCGAAGAAACTCCCCGAACATATGTCAAGTACGGAGTACAGTACATGGGTGTACATACTACACACCCCGCGCTTGAGGTCTCTACTATTTACTATGACTACTCCCCGGGCTCATCGCCAATCTTCTCCAACTTGCCCATCTCCCGCTTCTCACCGGCCTCGCCGAAGATCCGGATCCGGTCCACGCGCAACTTCTCACTGTCCCCGTCGCCATCCACAAAGAAAATCACCAGCGAGGTGACGTTCTGGAACTTGACGAACCGCAGATCCACCGTAGCTGTGCCCGTGTTCGCGTCCCAGCTCTGCGGCTGGATCTCCACCGCCTGCACTGGGTCGATATCGTCCGCTTCGTCGAAGCCCAAAACATGGGAGCGATTCGTATACAGCTTGATCGTCTTGGGGCGCATCGGGCGCTCGTCCTCGTCGCGTTCCTCGTCCTCGTCCTCTCCCGGTGGGAAGGATGTGATCTGCAGCGAGTGCACCTTGACGGTGGACTGGAAGGGCACGAACAGCATCAGCTGCTCATCGGTGTCACTCTCCACCCAGTCCGGACCGCCGGCCTTCTTGCCCTTGCTGTTCAGGGCGGAGGGTTTCGGCCCCTCGAAGAGCGTCCTGGCCGTGCCGTACTCGCTGGCCCGGTTCAACAGCTCCAGTCCCTTAGGGTCGGCTTGGTCTGTGATGTCACTATAGCCCTTGGGCACGGCGCCTCCGATCCAGTATCCCCCGCTGCCGCTGCCACCGCTGCTTGAGCCTTCGCCGGACGAGGGCTCGGCTTTGTTCGCCTCCGCGGCGAGTTTACGGACGACGTCGTTGAGCTTCTTCGGGTCGGCGCCGCGGATGGTGGAGGTTGGGCGGCCGCGTTCGAAAACGATGAAGGTGGGCATTCTATTCCGCGGTATCGCTGAGATTAGCTTGGGTTTCCTTCCCTTTCCGAACGGTCATGGGAGGCGGAAGGGTCATCATACGCTGTGACGCCATAGGCCTTGGCGATATCTTGCTGGTTGTCAACGTTGATCTTGGTGAATGTGATCCGGTCCTTGCGGGACAGCTGCATGGCTAGCTGCTCGTACGCGGGGGAGATGGCAGTGCATGGTCCACACCAATCTGCGTAAACTTTTGGAGCATAAGAGTAAACGAAGTTAGCTGGGTTTGTTTGTTTGTAGGGTGGTTTTGTGCAACCGGTGTGGTTGTGAGACAGGTGGCAGGGGGGAACGAAGGAGGGGGAAAAGGCGGGGGAGCTGGAACACAGGGAAGGCAAGCTCACAGTCGGCTACGACAAAGGTAGACGAGCTCAGTAGAGAGGCAAATTGCTCTTTGGAGGTGATTTGCACGAGTTGTGACATCGTGGCGGTGGGGGTGAACTGAGCTGAGAGGTGTAATCAGGATTTGAAGGAGGAAGAGGTTGGTTGTTGTTGACCGGAGCAGACTGGACGGTTCGTCCGTTCCTTCGTCTCCGCCCCGGACTATCCATTATATGTCATCAACTCCGAGTCTCCTCAACCCCGCGGCTGCTTCTGCGACGCTTTTCGTCTCTTGGATCACCTCTTGCTCTTGAACACCAACTTCAAATAGGCGCACTCAATAGTTCATTTCTCATACACAACTAGAATTACTGATATCTATTTTATAGGTAACTGAGTATGATGTGGCCATCAGGCCCATTCGATCTGCCACCAGTCTGCTCATGGCTGGGCGCTCAATCCATGAGCTTGGACACCATCGTAGTCTCTGTTGGACAGACCTCTCCGAGACAGCAGGATATCGTGCTTGCAAGCCAAGGGCTTTGAAGACGGGCGTGAGCGTGTCGAGGCCACCTCGACCTTGAGTGCTCAAACTGTATTACAAGAGCACCCACGCTCGCTTTGCGGGCCATATTCCGCAAACCACCTTATCGTATCTGAGCCTCAAACGAGACCAGAAAGCATCTCTCCCAGGTAAGAGACAGGTTCAGGGCACATCTAGCCGTCAAACCCAGGAAATATGCGGGTAACATCTCACCCTCCCGGCGCGGGGGGGGGGCAGCAGGTCTAGAAAAAGAGCATTACCGTATGCTCACACACAAGGATTTCCACCAACATCATCATCATCACCTCAGGTTCCCTGCTTCTGCCCCTCTCCCTCTCGCTCCTGCTCATCGTCACTGCCATCATTCTCAACCGCAAACAGGACCTTCATCCACAGACTGCAACCCCGACACCCGACCACGATCTCCCCGTTCTCCGCCTCCCTTTCCAAGTCCTCTTCCGTGAGAAGAAAGCCCCTCTCATCCCCACAGCGACACCCTCTATACCAAATATCCCCTTCGCCGCCTTCACCCTCCGCGCAGCCCAGATCCTCCAAATCCACCACCTCCAACCCCGTGTGAAACAGCACCCCGTTGCCCCCGGCCTTTTCCTGCCCCGCGGCGGCCCGCGCGCGATCCAGTCGCAGGGAGCGATCATACTCGGCGCGTAGAGACGGGACGGAGAGGGTCTTGTATGCCGCTGTAATTTCGTCTATCGTGCAAAAAAGTCTCGTCTGCGGCGGGGAGCTGTGGGCGTTGTTCGAGGCCAGATAACCTAGAGGTGCATCCTGAGCGGGTGTGCTGGCGGCGGCAGCCTTGTCCGGGTGGTGTTTGAGTAGGGCGCGGTGGTATGCGGTTTTGAGTTCTTGCTTCGAGAGGGGCGCAGTCGTGAAGGAGAGGTTAAGGATCTCGTAATAGTCAAGAGGGAGAGGATTCGTGGTGAGGGTCATTGTTAATGTCCTTTCCTTCCTGTTCCTGTCTCCGTATTCAGGTTTGCTCGGAGGAAGATAGAAGGTGGGGGTCGACTGGCGAAAGGGATTTCAGTCTAGTGTCCACGTGAAGACAGACTTTTCTCCCTTTCTTGCGAGGCGCGTGCAAAAGATACTCGTGTGTCAAGGGACTCCTATGTATAACGGGGATTAAATGCTTCGTCGCAAAAAGATGATGAAAAAAAGATAAGGCGGCGCGGCGAACGGGTCTTGGCCGTTCCGCATCTGCGATCTCGGCCGCCCGCCGCTGCCATCGCCGCGGCCACAACTCTCGTGACTTCTGAACATCGGAACTACTATTGTGACAAGAGCCATGCTGCTGCATCTAACATCACTCGCAATGTGGATTACAGAACCCAGCGATTAAACTTTTAGAAAACAATACTCGAAGGTAAGTCTAATTCGCCTACAGCCCGTTCCTATATAACAACTCATCTAGTGGATAAGTCTAGTATTGATGCTCTAGCTATCTTCTACCTCTAACCCACAAGACTCGGCTGTACAATGCCTTCGATGGCAGACAAGCCGAGAACAAAGCCGCACAGAAGGGCCACGGCCGTCAAAGAGCGGACCGTTTACGCATATATCGGATATCAAAATGTCGAAACAAGTCAAGAAACGCAATGCCCCGCGAACTGATTATGCCAAAAGAAAATCCAAAAACTATTCACACAACCTGCACATGATCTATGCCTCGAAGGTCTTGAAGACGTAGCGGTCCTCGGCCTTGCTGGTGAAGGGAACACCCAGCTCGAGGAGCTTGACGTACACGTCGGTGAACTCCTTAAAGAAGACATCGTTGTCCTTGGCGTAGCGCTCGACGTGCTTGCGGAACTCCTTGTCCTTGATCATGGCAAGGTCGGTGGGGAGCATCATCAGGGTCTTGGTGGTCTTGTCGGTGAACTGAACGGGGCCGTTCCACTTCCGCTGCTGCCACTTCTCGTCGAGCAGGAGCTTGAAGAAGTCGTTGGTGAAGACAGTGGGGCTGAAGTCCCAGGGACCGTCGAAGCCGGAGCGGTCGGTGTGAGCGCGACCCAGGGCGTGGGCACCGATCAGGGCCACGATCTCCTGGTCGTTGAAGCCCATGCGGTAGAAGATGTCACGGACGTGTCTCTGGTCCTTGGAGGCGTCGGGGAGACGGCCGTCGGGAGTGCAGGCGGCGACGTCCCGGTCCTGACGGCCGGGTCTCCAGGGGATGGCAGGGCCACCGCACTCCTGGATGGCGGCAGAACCGGCCAGGGTCCACAGGTCAGAGTAGGTGATCCAGGGGAACTGCTGCTTGATGGGCTCGAGGAAGTCTCTGGCGTGCTTCAGGCCGGCGTTGGCACCGTGATCGGATTCGGGAGCGAACCGCATGGTAGCACCGTTGCTACCACCGGTGCCGGTCTCCTTGTCATAGGTGCCACTTGCGTGCCAGGCCAGGCGGACAAGGACCTATCAGCATTGCGAGGTTAGTGTCGTGTCGAAACAACAAGACTCTTCAATATTGGTTTGTCAAGACTTACGGGGCCGTAGCTGCCATCATCATAGTCGGTTTCGTCCACCAGCTTCTTGGCAATCGCATCGTACACCTTCTGGTAGTCCGCCTGGGTGGGGACGAAGGCCTTGGAGCTCACGGAATAATCGCCGCTCTGGAAAAAGAAGAAAGCACCAGCGGCGCCAGCAGCAGCAACACCAGCCCACAGAAGGCCGTTAGAGGACTTGCTGGAGCCAGCCTCGGAGGCGTAGCCGCGGCGAAAAGCGGTGCGGAAACCCTGGGAGGGAAGAGCATGACGAGCGCTGCGAGCAGCGGGTCTGAAAGCCGAGGTGGCAGGGGTCGAGCGAAGGAAGGCCCGAGAGGCCGAGCGAGCAGCAGAGGCCATTGTGTGAGAAAGAGGTGTGAAACGGAGAGAGATTATGTTGGGATGGGTAGGACGAAAGGGTACACACAGTACTCTTGGGGTGAATCGACTACTGAAGGAGGGTGAGACGAGAAGACGGAGGAAGAGGAGAGAAGGGAAGAAGAGGTGACAGGTACGAGAAGAAAGAGGAGAAAGGACGAAGACAGGGATACTAATAAGTCTACCAGGCTGCGGATCACTTCCATCGGTTTTGCCCGCGACTCCTCCAATAATCCCTGAGGGCACCAATGACAAGGGCGAATTAGGGCGAGCTCTAGCCCCAATCTTTTGAGTAAGCAATAGCCAGCCTTTTGGCTTTCTGTCTCTCTCCGCATTTCCTGCACTTTCTTCTGGAAGACCTGAGTTTTGCCGTGGGTTTGTCGGATGGATGATTGCCGCGGCTGTTGGAGATTACGGGCCGTGGCAACCCCCAGGGGCTCGATCCATGGCTCTTCCCAGGGCTCTTTTCCTGCCCTGGAAAAGTTACTTGCTCTCTTCAATGGATTCCACCCTAAAGCTTTCTGTGACAATTAATTATCCAGCGCAATGGCGTTGTCAACCTGGGGAGGGGTAGTCTAACCCTTGTCTGTCTTCTCGCGTCGGCGGGATGGGATGGATGATAGATACGATGCGACAATCCGAACGGGGACAGATCCAATCATAAATGTCGAAGCGGGTCCGGTGCGTTCCGATTATAAACTTGCGACTTCTCTTTGGTTCTTTTGTTCATTCTCGGCTCCACCATTTTTCTCCCTCCACTTCCTCCGTCTTACCAAATCGTGCCTGTCCAGAACTCCAGACTTGTCGCCATTACTCATCATCGGCATCCAACTTTGTACCGTCTCAATTTTGGCATTTCGGTCTTACAAACCATATTGAACTTTGTGTAGAGCCGAAGAAAGTTCTTTCGAAGCCACCGGATGCTTAGTGGGTGACCTTAAAGGTAGAATTTGCCGGACGATTAGAGGCAGGGTTGCGTGACTGCTGCATTTGCGCACACCTAACACCTCATGGTAAGACGATGGCGAAATTCGGAATCGAGTTCCCTTTCATCCCATTTCTGCAGAAGAAGAGGGCAGTGATCAGCCCTAATAATGCTGTGCTCCTGTTTGTCGATGAGGGTTTCAAGTGCCATTCATCGACTGAGTTCAGCACCGCAACCAGAACATCCTCAAGATGTAAATTCCAATGCGACAGCACAGCGTACCATGACCGATGCACAATATGAAGTGCAGTAGTCCTCTCTCTGGTCGGGGCTGAGGTCAACGCCACCAGCAACATGCAGCAACGTGCCAAACTACAATCCAAAAATCTACAAGATAGAATGTCCGTCGTAAAAATAGTCCTGCCGTTCGATCAAAGCGAACACCAGGGTGGAGTAGACGCAGCTCTGCTAAAAACTGTTTGGTTTTGATCTTCCACTGAACGAACTAAAAAAAAAAGTATGCCTCTTTGCCATTGAATAGGCTAGACGCGCACTGTGTGGGTTTTGTGTGTTCGTGTTGTCTCTGCTTTGGCTACGAGTTGGCAACAAAAAAGATGCCGGAGGCCCCCCAACTGCCAACATTATGCAAATTGGGAGACGAGGTCCATCCGATGCGATTGTTCAGATTGAATAATCGTAGCAATGAGAACGGGTTTGTCCTTGTGAGACTGAGCCATGGCTGGCTGTCGATGTGACAGATTGCTCAAGTGGCCGGCCGAGTGTTGATGGGAGAGAAAATTGAAGGGGAAAATGAAAAAAAGTCAGACGGCTACGGTCACATGAGAATATATGTTTCGCTTAATGTGGTCATGTGATGCGCTAGTCCCCGGTGGGTAGAATGTTTGTCCGTGCGGGTACCCAGCTCGAGATTGGTGATTTAGAGGGGGTACCTAACAGTACATTAACTCAGAAAAAGCCTTGGAAAAGATCTTGGTCGTCGTGATTACTACATTATACGCATGTAATCTATCTTCAACGCCTATCTATTCTCTCTGGTGATTTTCGTTGGAACCTCGTGTTCAAGAAAGATGCAAATGGGTGTCAAGTTCCTGTAACATATATTGTATAGAAGGCATCATAGTCACTGGGACAGAAAACATTGAACGCCGGCGAAGAACTAATCCCAACAGTGTACAAAGAAGCATCATGCCTTCCACAAGCAATTACCAAGCCAGACGTCCCTCAGGCTCAAGTCTGGTTTCACTTCTGGCGTCGGTAGTTGATCTCATCGACTGCCAGCCCAACGAGCTGCGTAATAGGTCCACCCCGTCGCTTCTTGTATCTGCGCTCCGGCCTCGCGCTCTCGTACTCCATACTCGACATGTCTGGTTCTGGCTGCGCCTGCGATTCGAGCATCGGCGCATCCTGGGCGTTGGCCTGGAAGGGCTCGAAGGCGGGCCGAACAGACAACGTCAGTCCGATCCCCAGACACACGAAGACGATCACAATTTCCTCCAGGACCGACATGCACAGCTGGATGGTGACGTTTCCGGAGAGCGAGCTGAACTCTGGCTTCTGGGCAAAGGCCGACAGCAAAGAGTATAGGATGCGCACGAAGAGCAAGGGGATCGAGATGCCGACGGCCAGGAGCAGGCGATGCTCGCCTTCCTCGATCCACTGATAGCGGAGAGAGGTGAGGAGCAGCAGGATGCAGAGGCCGACCCATGCGATGAGGTACAGTACCAAGCCGGCTTTGGTCTTGGAGTTGTACAGTCCTGCCGTCGGGCTGGTGCTTTTCGTTTGGCCCACGATGCCCAGGATCATGCCTACGATGGTGATCAGGCCGGTCACCTTGAAGAGGAGGGGGTGTAGAGCGTGGCCGGATTTCCGTTGGATCGAGTCGTTACTGGATTGAAACACGCGATATTAGTAAGGATGATTATTGAGAACCTGCTGGAGTATACCTACACTCGAGACAACAGGCCAATGCAGGCCCAGGTTAAAGGCGAGACTCCGATGGATGTGCAGACTGCCCATGCCACATAGAGATCGACTGATGTAGGATCGTTGATGGTGGCTAGGTAGCAGCAGGAGCCGATGATTCGAGCTAACGAGAATATCACGAAGAATATCCAACCCGAGCTTCGTGTGAAACCATGGCGAAAGGCCATCCATAGTGCCGTGAATAAGGTGGGGATGTATACTATTAATTCGAGGATGGAGATTCCATGGCGATAGTCGATAGCCATGATTGCAGTAGTCGGCTGAGCAAGACTTGTCAAGAGAGTATTGGGAGGAATGGCGAACAGAAAGTTCGAAGCTTCATATCAAAGTCAACGAAGGGGAGAAGCTCGCTATTTAATCCCCTCAACTCGGACTATCTCCAGTCTCCATGACGAAGAATTCTCGCCTGAGAACCACAAGGCTGTGCAGATACCATGATATTGCGAGTCTCCATCAGGATCGCCGGGCAGTGTTTGCGACCCTCATAGGCACTCAACCTACGGTTCCAAGCAATATGAAGTGAAGAATACCGCATCCTTTCAGGGCGGAATTGTTTGAAGGGACAGATTGGGCCAATGAATAGGCCGGGCGACTGGGAGGTGCTCGCTCTGCATACCTAAAGTGGGTTAGTGGGAGAGAGCCTGAGGCTTGACTTGACCAAGCCGCAAACCTGGACCGACTGTCGAACTCCACCCAGGCTCGGGTCTCTCTTACTCTTAATTGTTCCAACCTGGCTGCCAAATGTCAGCACTATGAGGAAGACTGACTTCTGACAGTTTAGTCTTCTTTCATGCAACGATCATTATTGCAGGCTTCCATGGCCTCTTGGAACGTTTCAAGCGTTTCCGCTCATAATTATGAACGGCTGGTGCTCTTCGGTTAGCCCGTATCCTGCAGGAAATCTCCTACCAGTTTACAGTACACTCCGAGTTCGTCGAACTCCGGCTAGCCATGGTATACCGTGGTAAACCGAGTGGAGGGTGCGACACCTGCCGCGCGAGAAAAGTTAAGGTATGTTCTTGCGGTCAAGGCTGAGCAAGCAATCTCTGTCGTTGTTGGAAACTAGTTTCGGCCCCCACGACTACCGACGCTGATCATGAAGCTTAGTGCGATGAAACCAGACCCGTCTGTCTACGCTGCACCAAAGCTAGGCGTACCTGCGCTGGTTATCGGGATCAACTTTCACTGTGGTTTCAAGACGAAAGCGACGCCACCGTGCAGAAAGTAAAGGCATTGGACAAGTCGGGCTCGAACGACTCGGCCCCACCAACAACGGCCGTTGTAGCGATACGACAGGCGGCTGCCCAAGTATATCGCCTCCAGCACTTGACCTTCTCAATCCCCGTCTTCAATTTTGCGCTGGACCACATCTTCCAAGCCACCTGCCTGTTTCTCAAGTCATATTCATGGCTCAATGTCTCATGCCTTGTAGAACAGTCTCAGACGCATGCCCTCTCTATTGGCGAAAAAGCCATGATGACGGGCATTGCGTCGGTGGGTCTTGCTAATCTCGCGAATCTTCATAATTCACGTCCCTTTCGAATCTCTTCAAGAAGCGAGTATACCACTGCTTTGCAGTTAACAAATGCCGCTCTTTGTGATCCAGTAGCGGTCAAAGAAGACACCACGCTCACTGCGGTGGCTTGTCTCTCGTTGTATGAAGTGAGTTCTTTGTGATTTTCCCAGAACGAAACCGCTGACTTGATTTGCAAGATTATCTGCTGCGACAAGGAATCATCTCTGCTATCTTGGTATGAACATGCACGAGGCATCGCGGCCCTGCTCGAACTTCGTGGAGAGGAACAGCTCCATCGTGAAACCGGTCTGCAAATGTTCCAAGTCCTGAGAAATGAAGTGGTTAGCTCCTGGATCCGTCCAAGCCAAGTTACGGATTGCATATGTCTGACTTTCTCGTAGCTTATTGGTTGCCTGCAAAAGCGAACACGAATGCCTCCTACACTCATCAGGACTCCATATCGGCCAAATTCCACTGCTCAGAGTTATTGTGCAGATAGGCTAGTGGAAATTGCCGCCGGTCTATGCGATCTTCAAGTTCAAATGAGCGAGGAAGCAGTCACTGACAGCGTCAGAATACTTACGCTCGCCATGAAGCTTGAATCTAAATTAGAGGATTTCAGCAAGGAACTCTCTGCTGAACTGCCCTACTCAGTAAGTCTGCGAAGCAATTCCCAGGCCTCACGAGAGGAGGCGGTAAAAGCGGTCAGTCATTACAATGGTTATTACCATGTGTACCAGTCCATGTGGACGTGCAATACTTGGAACAACTACCGATACATCCGGATCCTCGTCAATAGCTTGATTTTGGCACAGTTACGACAATTGATGTTTCAGTCCGAGCGCAGCTCAGTTACCCCGGGCATAAAGAGTCTTTGTCGCGACGTCCGCGCTCTTTTAAGGCAACTAGCGATGGATGTCTGCTGCGCGGTTCCGTACAAATTTGGCCTTGCTCAGGAAGCCGAGAGACAAGCACTGGATCCATTGGTAGCTAAAGCCGGCACTGGGTTCACTCTGCTTTTGCCCCTCTATCTTGCTTCGCTAGTCGATGGAGTGTCGAGCCCTGTCCATGCTTGGGCCATGAGGTGCCTCGGTATTATCGGGCACAAGATGGGAATACGGACAGCTGTGTCCCTTATGGATGTGCTCGAGAGAGAGCAAGGTTGGACGGCCTGGATCGACTTGATAGATGGTGAAGGGGATAAATAGATGTACATAATGGAAGGACTACAGTGCCTAAGGCATCACAAGACAGCGGAGACTCGGAAACTCGTTCACGTGACGCACTATTTTGTATCATTTATAACAGTTTTCTTCCGCGCGGCAAGAGGAAAGTTTTTTTCTTTTTCTTCTTTACACTTATCATACCTCACGAACGCATAATCAACCTACACTCCTATCCTCCATAGGATGGCAGGTCATATTGGCGTACCAGAATGACGTTTCCAACACCGGGCAAATGTCTTGCTATGGCTTCATCACCGTGCTGGGTTTCTTCAGGAGCCTCGAGTGCGATGGTGATGAAGTCAACTGCTGCTCATACATGCCGACGCAAGATCGTTTCTTAATTGTGTAGACGGAGAAAGAGATCTCTCTTCCTGTATTGAACGTGGTCACACGCGCTCATGCCGAAGACCTTTGCAGCGATCCAGAGAGTGTCACTTGTGATGCTTCTCGTAAGCGCGGATCAAGCAACCAGGTTACCGAGCCCGTGGATTGGTCTTCAGGGATCATTCGACTAGGTTTCGCGGGCGCAGTTTGTTGATTATCAGAACTTGGCTCAAGTCCTGAACGTGAGTTTCAGTGATTTGACGAACGCGTCCGACTCCGGACCCGAAACTATCTTTTTTGAGCTTGAGTGAAAAGGAGTCTGTCCTTTGCCCAGACCGCGCATGGAAATAAAGTGAACCAAGTCCCTGCAATATATTAGCGACATAAATTGGGGGGATAATGCCAATGGCGCTGAAAATAGAACGATTGTGGCCCGTTCTTTGGAAAACTGGGTCTATTGTCCAGTTGGGGGCTGCTTGCCCCTGACTCTTGACAATGGAGCAAGAGAAACAAGCAGCAAGCATTGCATGGATGGATGGATGGATGGATGGATGGATGGATGCATCGGCGGGCGCCGTCTTGAACTCCGGATGCAGGACCGAACGAGGCTGGCTGCTTATGAAACCTCGAGTAGTTGCAGTCTAGATGCTTTTCAATCAGTCAGTCAGTCTGTCAATCATTATTGAATTGGTTTTAAGTGACTACCGTAATCTGCATTGATGATTACGGAAGAGTAGTTAACATTAACTAGTTAGTTAGTAGTTAGTAGTAGAGAGGAGAGACAAGAGCACGACTTCGAGGAAATGGAATCCACCATCCCAACTTTCCTCCCCACATCTTCATTCATTCATTATTCATCCCTGGCCACTTTCTCCCTCCGTCGGCTCTCTCCTCTCACCTCATCTTTACTCAGTCTATTACCTCCCCTCCCCCCACCTCTTCTATCTTTTTTTGCTATTCTAATATCTTTTCTCTCAATTCATACGGCTCTTCTTCGGCTTATGTCCTGGATGCTGATTGTGTAAATATGCTTGATCTCGCCGCCTGAGTGTCTTCTTCTTCTTCCCCCGAATTCCCCGTTCCGGAAGCTCGGCTCGTGCATTCACCTGAGACTTTTATCTCTACGGAATACCCCTGCAAGTTTACGACCACAAACTCTTTTATTCTTGGCTCTCAGAAACTTGGAGCCCGTCAATCTACTTGCACAATATAGTTCGTTGCCTTTTGGGCATCGTGCGACCATGGTGGGAGGCATTAGCAAGCGGCAGCAATACCGCAATGAGCGGGCATTGCAGGATCTCATCCGGTCGGTTCCTGGCAACGATCGATGCGCTGATTGCCAGGCTATGAATCCTGGTGAGCATCAAGACCTGCAAACGTCCCGTCACAATGTGATGCTAATAAATCTTGTGAAATCCAGGCTGGGCTAGTTGGAACGTACGTACCACGACCGATCTATGCACGGATTCGAGCCCCCCCCCGATTAAGGACTTGGTATATTGACTAGATCGGATACAGATAGGCATCTTTCTTTGTATGCGATGCGCGGCCCTACATCGGAAGCTTGGCACGCATATTTCCAAGGTCAAGTCTTTGAGCATGGACTCGTGGACGGACGACCAAGTCGATGTGAGTGAGAGCTACCCCACCAGCCCAAGTTGTCCTGGTCTGACTCGTGATGGGTTTGGTGGATGCTAGAATATGAAATCGCACGGCAACAACATCATGAACAAAATATTCAATCCTAAGAACGTGAAGCCACCCGTCCCGACCGACGTCGATGAGTCCGACTCGTGCATGGAGCGATTCATCCGGCAGAAGTACCAGCATCGGTCTCTAGACGAGAGCAAACAGAAGCCTCCGAGTCGTCATGACTCGGGGTATGATAGGTCTCCGGAGGGGTCGCCGCCTCCCTTGCCTCCAAAGCCCGCCAGGCCGTTTGGCTTCGGCCTTCGTTCGGCCTCATCCGCAACGAATCTCAACCGCATCTCCAACCGCAGCGCCTCCTCTCCTCAATCGGACAGATTCGATTCACCTTCGCCGGCGCTAGGTGCAAGGAAGGCTTCGGGGGATCCGTCGTTCGACTCGAAACTGGCTACCCTGAGGGATATGGGGTTCACAAATGAGCGTCGGAATGCCATTGCTCTCCGCGAATTGAATGGGAACCTTGATAAGACCATTGAGACGTTGATGAGGCTGGGAGAGGGCAACGGTTCTGTGGTGCGACCACCTGCTTCTGCTTCTGCTTCTACTCCTAGCGTCGATTCCTCCAAATTCGGTAATCCCTTCGATCAATTAGACTCAAGGCCAGCAGCGCAGCCCAGCAGCAACTTCAACCCTTTCGATGCACAGCCGCAACCGCAACCACTACAGCAGCAGCAACAGCAACAGTTGCCTCAGTCGGCCTCTATGCAGCCGCTTGAGCAGTCGTTTCAGGGCCTGCAGGTCGCTCAGCCCTTGTTTCCGCACTCTACTGGAGGCTACCCGTACAGACAGTCCTCACTTCCTCAGCCTCTTTATCAGCAGGCGCCTCCCGCAGCTTCCACCCTGAACCAAGGTGGATACGTCGCATCCCCACAGATATTGGACGGTAGCCACAACCCCTTCTTCCAAATCGGAGCTCAGCCGCAGGCCAGCCTGACCACTCCGGGTGCGAGCCCCAACCCCAACATGGGATCAAGCAACCCCTTCTTCGGACAGGCTCCATCACAACAACCATCCATGCAGGCGCAAAACCAGGCGTCAGCCGGTCCATTTGGACCTCCGCGACATGCGAACACCATGCCTATCATGTCTGCGACGTCGCCATTTGGCCAGCCTTCGCCATTCCAGCAGCAACAGCAACAGCCGCAGCCGCAGCCGCAGCCGCAGCCGCAAGCGCAGCCCCAGCTCCAAGTGCCGCCCACGCAACTAGGGCAAACCTCCATGAACCCGTACCAGATGATGAATGCGCCGCCCACGCCGCAGAGTGCAGGATATCCCGCTCCAGCGCAGTACGGGTACCAGATGCCTGCCCAGCATCTGTATCCGCAGCACACAGCCCGTGTCGACAAGAACAGCATTCTTGCACTGTATAACCTCTCTCCCCAACCCCCTACGATCCCCGAACACCCCCAAACCCAACAGCCCTCCGCGGCCGTCAACCCAGCCCAATCAGTCCCGATGAACCCGCCACAACCGTCCCACTATCAACAACCCGCACCTACCTTCCAACAGCCCGGCGCCACCGATCCCCAAGCGACAGGGACACGGAACCCCTTCTTCACCACCGCTCCAGCCGCTGCTCCAGTAGCCCCTGCTGCACCGTACCAAATGGCTACTATGCCCCAAGCTGCTCCACAGCCCACGGCAGGTTTCGCAATGAACAACCGCCCTGCGACGTCAGCAGGCGGGTTTCCTCGCGGTCATATGAGCCAGCAAAGTGTGGACATCAATGGCTTCCAGAGTGGCCGCCACAGCCCGGACGCGTTCGCCAGCCTGAGTGCACGCTACGGCTAGACATCTCGATTCCGCTTCAGCTTTTCATGTGTTCTTTGCGGTTGTTTTTCCCCCTATCTTTTCTTGAGCGTATATATTACATCTCTTCTTTGCCCTAATCCGGGGATTCTTTTTTTTTTCTTTTTACTTCTTCCTTTGGATGTGTGTACCTGTGTTGCATCATTCATGGCGTTCTTGAGGCGATATATAGTAACTGTATGATGACGCTGTCGTTGACAGAGCGGTATATACTTTTTCTTTTTTTTATTTCTACAAAATCGGTCAGATTGTTACATAGAGTTGAAATGGACCAAGAAAAGCTCAATGTCGGAGTTCGGTTGCTCCGGGCTGGAATTGCAATGTCTGTGACTCGTGCGTTTCTCTTCGCGAGCGAGTTGATGGTTATTTGACCATGGCAAGTACTGCTCGGGTTCAGGAAGGACGATAGTCATATACTGTACGGAGTACTTTACTGATCTGCTTTAGCCAGTCCAAAGTTCTTTTCTAATATGTTATCATTCAAGATAGAACCTGCTATCATCTAATCTAACCAGAAAATCACTCAATAGGTCAGAGCTTGAGAAAGGAATGAAGGACAGGAAGAATAAGAAGAAGAAACAGAACGCCTCGAGAAGATTTCCCAGCCATCCCAACACCCAATCGTTGACCACAAGCTTCCCTATCCCAACTTCCCCGCTTGAACGTCCTACTTCCTCACCGGGATGACTGGAAATCGCTTACAAGAACGATCCCAGTCCGCTCGAGCTGTCACTCGACCCACTGCTACCGCCACCGAAGAGCGAGCTCAGCCCGCCAAGCCCAGACAGCCCGGAGGATCCTGAAGAAGCGGCGGATGACTCGGAGCTTCCGCTGCTGGTGCTCGAGCCAGTTGTCCCGGACGACGTAGTGGACGTAGAGGTGGTTCCCAGCTGCGACTCCAACCACTGCGAGGCCTCGCCGGTGTTGGCAATGTACGAGAAGTGCGCGGGAAGCACGAGCAGCGTGCCATCGCAGACCATGTCGCCGGCGGCGCAGTAGATCTTGACCTTGTCCTTGGGGAAGTTCTGGATCTGGCCGTGTTCCTGGGCATTCCGGGTGTAGCCGAAGAGGACCACGCCCTTGATTTTGTCTTTGACGCTGTCGTCAAGCTCCTTAATGGAGTCATCCATCACCGCTGTTCCTTGACTATATAGATCGGATTTGTCGTTAGTATACGTTATTGGGAGGGTGGTTTTGATCGAGTGGTGAATGAGCGGGCTTACCTATATCCACCGGCCAGGATTTGACTGTTGGGACACTTGGATGCAGCAAGGTTGAAGAGAGATTTTGCTTCGCTGATGGCCGCTGGGGAAGTGTTACCGGGCAGGGCGTTGGACACCAGATCGGCTGTGTAGGCGGGACCGACGCCCTGGCAGAGGACTTGGCCGGCCTTGGCCATCTTCAGGTTGTTGCAAACGGCCGGACCAGTTGAGATACCCTGTTACTGTTAGCTAGAGTACAGATAGAAGGGGTAGAGAGGTGTGGCTTACAAGGAGACCCGGCTCCGTAGATGCGCGCGCAAAGATGAAGATGATGGGCTTGCAAGAGCCGTCGCGGAGTTCGTTTCCAGAACTGACTGCAGCATGCTTAGCACTGATGTCCGAAGGAAGGATGAAGCAGCGAAACCATACATTGACGGGTCTCAAGACCCATTGGGGTGGCCGCTGCAAGGCCCATGAGGCCGAGGAAGAACAATGGAAGCTTCATCGTGGGTGGTTGGGTGCTGTTGGGACTGGGGGTGCCTTTCGAATCACTCAAGCATCAACCAGACCAGGTTCCATCCCGAACCTATTTATGCAAGTTTCCCATATCCCCATGATTGGGACTAGTTCACATGTCGTCGAGATGTTTTTTCCTTGGATGCCGAGATAGAATGAATTTTCTGGATGTGTAGCTTGTTTCATGCACGATTCTCGTTTCATACTGTCGCAGACAGTTCAACAGTCCCCCATGAGAAGAAAGAAAAAACACGGACCACCTCCTTGATACGGTTGGCAACCACGGATGTACGCTACCGAGGACCCTGAACAGACCCTGAACGTGTGGCTTGTCCGAAATCGGTGGATGAGGCTATTCGCTCGACGGCCAACGGCGTGTTTCAGCACCGGGCCAATTTTTGGGTCGGGGGGTAGATCTGGGTCCGCTGGTGGTAGAAAAGTCCGCCGGCCAAGCCGCCTGGGTCTGCCAGGCACCGATATTTTCTCTGGCCATGTGCATGGCTTTGGTGTCGGGGTCTCGAAATTGAGACGAGCGATCAGGGTCTAGTCTATGACTCGTACATAATAGTGTGTGCACGGGGATAGAACCAAACGCGGCCGATGATGGCATTCTGATCAGGAACAGGGCGTTTGTTCCAGAATACATATCCGAAGTAAACCCTTAAAAGCTGATCTATGGTTCGCTAGTGATCCTTGATCGGCATTTTTGATCCCTTGGGGGAGTGTAGACTGATCAGTTTGAGGTTAATGAGTAATGTGACGTATCGAAGAGTAGAGCCCGGTTGGATTTCCGATGCCGAGGTATGTTATGGAGCATTGCACGGCCATTGATGGAGCAAGCCGAAGGAGAATACGAGACCTCGAATGAAGCCAGAGAATCATAGTCAGCACAGTCAGAGACACAGAGACAGTAACTGGAGTGAGAAAGATATCCTGGATTGAGAAATGGCCGGTGGATGGATGAGTGGTCGAGTGTTCGAGTGTTGGTGTAGGCGGCATGTCCCGTGACCAGCTATGCTTGCTTTGCTTGGTGAAGCATCATCCCTTCCTGTTTAGGCTGACAGCAAATACCATCAACTGACATCAACTTTGTATACTCTCCGAATCAACTTTGCTATTGAAATTGGTGGTTTGATAGCCACACTGTTGAACATTCTTCTGGAAGACTAGCAGAAGTCTAAAAACCTATTTCCATTTGCTTTCGAGATCCATTGCCTGCGCGCTGCGCGTTGGAACACAGTGTTGCGTAAGGTCGGTGCCTATACCAATCAACGAGCGGAGTAGTCTTGTCAAGTATCAATTTATTCCTCGCTAGCGTTATAGGAATGAATTAATCTACTGCTCTGTCTGACAACTAGCGTAGGGCGTTCCGCAGCCAACCACCACCTGCACTAAACTTGATACAAGAAGAATGCCGATCAAGTGCATCTGCGCAAGGTTTCTGGTCTCGCGAGACCAACAGTCACCAGCGAGATTAGAGCGCCGGGCCCGACCCCCGGACCCCAAGGCACGGCGACAGCGCCAGCGCCAGCGACCACCACCACCACCGGCCGTGGCGCGCAATTCCACCGAGGAGATGCATCACAAGGCGCGCAACACCACCCGCGCGCATCTGCGAGAACTCCACCGCCGGGTCCAAGCGTCACAGTTGCAGTCTTTTTCCGAATCCGAAGCCAGGGACCTCGGGATCGACTGCGTCGAGCTCCCTCTCCGCCCAGATGGGCTCTTACCCGAAGAGACAGACGAAGCCGTATACTTCCACCCGTGGCCGCTGCGGCGCCTCGAGGCTCACCCGGTCGACATGACGGACCCCACCACCCGGGAGAGCGCCCGAGTCAAGGAGAAGCTCTGGGCGCGCTTCGACCGGAAGGGGACCGACCAGGACGGCTTCCTGAGTGCGGTCCTCGCGGACGAATTCCTCGAGTACCTGCGCGAGGGCCCACTGGGCCGTGATACATTGGAGCAGTTCTCGCTGTGGACTGAGGGGTCAGCTAAGTGAACTTACATATTTGATTTCTTGCAACGACTTAGCATTGCTGATAGTGGGGACAAACGGAGGGAGCCTCTCACAGAACCTTTGAAGGTGGCATCATTCGATCGCGGTACATGGACTTCAGCGCCTCGGCGGATCCGGACACGGGGCCGGGGGCTCCGCACGCGGCGGACCTCAAGTTCGAGGAGGCGTGGTGTGCGCGCAAGGGACATCCCCATGTCAGTCTCATCGTGACGCACAAGGTAGCTCCGGAGGAGAAGTTGCTGCGCACCGAAGTCCTGGCCCTGGTGGGCATTATGAGGACACGGCTGAGTCGAGCGGCTCTGAAGGAGCATACGATCATCCCGGTAGGAGACTTCTTTGTGACTAGCTCTCATAGACCTCTCACAGGCTGAACCACTCACGCCTTTGATATAGATCAACATGATATCATGCATGAGACAGCGCCAAGCGAGAATACTCCAGGCGCACTTCGACGGCGAAGACCTGGTGATCCGCAAGAGCCATCTCTACGACTTCACCACGCGAGAACTTCGCGAGAAGAACATCCCCTTGTTCTTGCTTTACATGGCCAGCAGGCCTATCGGGGATACCAAAGCCTACAAAAAACGGATTCGGGAAGTGTAGCCAATAGCTATCAATGTGCGATATGATTATGTGAATCTCCCGCTCCATGTAAAGCAAACCTTGATAAAAATCCATTCTGCTTGGAAATATGAACACAAGAAGAACAAATCCTCATTCCCCATGCCATTTTACGTTATTCCTTCACGTAAGTTCAGGAAACCCCAAATTCCAATCCCGAAACCCCAGTAGCACATCCCCCAATAAATCCCATCAAATATCAAGAGCCATCATCCTCAAGACTCTTCAAGCCATAGCCCCATCCTCCTCCTCCTTCTTCACCCCGCCCAAATCCTTCTCCAGCTTGAAAAACCCAAACCCCTCCTCCCCAACCCCTTCCTCCTGCACCTGCACCTTCACCTTCGCCTTCTTGGCCGCCTTCTTCGGCACCGCACCATTCGCGTGGTCCCCACCCCCAGTCCCGGCCTTACGCTTGGGCTTGGTGGGAGTCTCCGCATCGGCGGTGGTGGTGGTGGCTGCTCCATTCTTCTTAGCCGGGGTCGTGATAGGGGTTGTATCGGTGGAGTTCGAGCCGAGGGCTTTAGCATGTCTCTTGAGCTTGGCTATGCGTTGTTCGATGGCGCAGGCGGTGCAGTCTTTTCAAGTAGTTAGTGGGGTTGCTAGTTTGGGCATATTCCAGAGGGAAAAGCTGGGGGGGGGGACGGCGGCGCATGTGGAAGCGGAATGAGGGAAACGAAGAATAGAGAAGGAAAGAGACTTAAGTCAAATTGAGGTGAAAGAAAAACATACCTCCCCCCATGTGCTGGGCCAGTTTCTGGGAGTCAAGTTTCAGTTGGCCGTGGCATTGGTTGAGGACGCCGACGAAGAGCTGGATTTTCGGGATAGAGGCGTTAGTTGTATGCATGCATGGTAAGGATATTCAGCGGGGAAAGAGAAGGGGGGGGGGTGTAAGACCTTTGCGTCGGCTTCGGAGGTCCATTGCACCGGCATTTTGAGATCTTGTTGCTTGGTCTTGGATTTGAGTTACGTGTGTTTGTATTTGTAGGTGTTGTTGTGGTCGAGGTTGAGGTTCGGGTTCTTGTCCTTGGGTTGTGTAGAGGGTAGTATCGTGCGGGGAGGGATGAAGAAAGATGGTTGGGGGATGTGGAGAGTGGGAGGAAAAGAGAAAGATAGAAGAAGGGTAGGGAGAGGAGATTTATGGTTTTGTGTTTCTTGGACTCGAGAAGGTTGGCTGGATGGTTGGTGTCATTTGCTGGTGGTGAATGTTGCAGATGTGAAAGATAGCTGAGTTGGGAGTTGGGAGGGTAGAATTACTGGCAAGACAACGGGGAGTGTTTGCTGTGTCTTAAAAGTGTCTTTCTCGATGAGAAGTCTGTCTGCGCTTGTCAAAACCACTGGTACTTCAGCTCAAAAAACAAGGTCCTATCGCCTGATACGTTGTTCGTGAGGATCTACTCAACCCTGACTATGAGGTTCAGGCGTGTGTCTGTTGAGTTCAAATGTGATGCATAAATGTACTGTACCTTTCAAGGTTGGCTTGAGTCTGTAGACATCAATAAGAGATGTAGCGGTAGGAGATGTGAAAAATTTCACAGATAATGATAAATAGGTGCGCATACCCCAGCTCTATCGGGGCTGCGGCTCTACACATTTGACGTGGTTGATATGCGTAAGGATAAAGTATGATATAGTAAGGTATATTGTCTTCCCACCCACTCTGGGAACATTGAACTACCACCCACCCTTGCCAGCATTTCCCGTACTTTCCTCGATCTTCTTGGGCATGCCTCGCGTCGGCTTGGACTGCGCCGCCTCGTGCTTGCGAAGCTCCTCGGGAACCCGGGAGATAGGCGACTTGATGAGCATCTGTTTGAGGTCGTACCTGCAGAGGACAAGTCAGTAAACGAAGTGGGGGGATACCAAGCTGAAGACGAGGTATCTGACAAGAACTGGAAGAACATGGAGAAGAAGGAACATACATAACGTCGGAATCCTCGTTCCCGAGGAAGGTGATGGCAACACCACTCTTTCCAGCACGACCCGTACGGCCAATACGATGCGTGTAACTCTCGATACTCGTCGCCATGTTGAAGTTAATGACCAGACTGACATCTGGCACATCGATACCTCTACCCGCCAGGTCGGTCGCCACCAACACATCGGTCGACCCGTTCCGAACGGATGCCAGCGCCGCCTCACGCTGTTCTTGCGTCTTACTACCGTGCAAAGTGACAGACGAGAAGCCCCACTGTTTGATCTCCCGAGCAATGGCATCGCAATTGCGCTTGATGTTGACGAACACAATAATCGGAGGCCGGAAATCGCCTGACGACAGGATCTCGCCGAGGCGTTTCTTGCGCTTGTCTTCTCCTGCGATCAGTTCCACGCGCTGCTCGACTGTATCGACGGCTTCACCGGCACTACCAATGGTCACAATGGCCGGACGGCGGAGGTATTTGCGGGCGATGCGTTCGACGGCTGAAGGCATGGTGGCCGTGTACATCATTGTTTGACGGTAGCGTTGGAGATGGGACGGTTGATTCGAGTTGATATGGCGGCTCATTGCAATGGAGTTCTCGGCCTCCTCGGTGTCCGGCTTCTCGTTGGTAACAGGCAAGGCATCCAGGATTTTGTTGACAGGCTCTTCGAAACCCAGATCGATCATCCGATCGGCTTCATCCATGATCACGTAGCAACATTGACTGAGGACGAGCATCCGGCGCTCGATACAGTCGACAAGACGACCAGGCGTAGCGATAATGATCTCCGCACCATCACGGAGACTGTAGGCCTGTTCCTCGAACGAGTGTCCACCGACGATACTGACGACGTTGAAGCCAAGCGGTTGGGTGAACTTCTTGGCTTCAATCTCGATCTGTTGCGCCAATTCACGAGTCGGTGCCAGCACAATAGCGTAGGGTCCGTCGTTTTTGCGCCATTCGAATTCGTCAATCCGAGGAAGCTCCGCAATGTAGCAGAGAAGTGGGAGAAGGAATGCCGCCGTTTTACCGGAACCAGTGACAGCCACACCGATGAGGTCGCGATTCTGCATCGCGATGGGAATAGCCGCACGCTGGATAGGAGTGGGTTCTTTATAGCCAACCTGGCCGATAAGCTCCAGTAGCCGCGAGGGAAGTCCCGATTCATCCCACGAGCGCATTGGGTTGGGCACGCTCCCACCCTTGGTACTAATGTTGAAATCTTCCTTGAAGATACGCCAATCGCGCTCGCGCATATGTTCGAGCTTCTTCTCGGACCAGTGCTTGTCCAGCTGGTTGCGGGTACTCTCTTCGCGGCGACGGCGCTCCATCTCCAGGATTTCGCGCGCGCGGATGCTGCCAGCTTCGCGGTCGCGGTCCTCTAAAGCCCGCGCGTAGGTCTTGGCCACTGCGTCAGCCACATCGTCGCCGAAGCCAGCCAGACGGCCACGGCCGAAGAAATTGGCTTCGTGTCGGTGTTTGTAGAGCGGGTTGTAGTCGCCGCTAGTGTCTTCCTCAGCATTCCACTCGAAGTTGAATTTGCGATCCGTCGTGCGCTTGCGCTTCTTCTTCGCGGAGAAATTCGACGTCTGGTCGGCGCCCATGTACCGTTGCTTGATAAGCGCGGCTTGTGCTGCTTGTTCCTCCTCAGCGTCATCCACGGCGCCTCTTCTGTTCTTATGTTGTTTGCCAGGGCCGCTGGTCAAGCCATACGACATCGATTTAGGGGGAGGGGGCGGCGAGAGATCGTAGTTCTTGGTGTTGCGCATCGAAGCCGGCGCGTTGGGTGCATCGGAAGAGTTGCGCATGGCTCGTGGACCGGTGGGGATCGAGCGGGAGTTGTCATTGTGGCGGGACTCTGATGAGCGGTTGGAGGATGTGTTGTCGATCGTCTCGGAGGACGTCTGATCTGTCTTGAGTCTGCGCGCAGCTTCGACTTCCTTTTGACGCTTCTCAAGGGCAATCTTTTCTCGTTCCTTCTTCGACAGAAATTTGGGCTGGGGATTGTTAGCTGTGTAGCTTGATTTAAACGAAGCCCGAGTGAAATCTACCTTGGCAGCTGCAGCATCAGCTTCTCTTTTCTTGCGCACTAGCTCTTCAACACTCAGAGGTATTGCAGCTGGTCGTTTCGGGGCACCCCATCCGACTTTCTTCTTCTTGGATTCTGGCTCTGGCGGCGGAGCAGGTGGAAGGTCCTCCGGCGGTGGCGGAGGTGCGGACGTGTCTGGCGGCGGAGGAGGAGCGGAGGAGTCCTCTGGAGGCGGGGGAGGAGAAGGAGGCCGTTCGATGGGTTCTGGAGGTGGCATAGGAGGAGGGGGAGTCTCCAACGAACCGTTAGTGATTATACCATCCATGGTGAGTTGTGGAGATAGAAAGAGGGAGGAAATACAGCACGCCGCTGGTAGGCGTTTGATATGACCGACTATCAAAGGCGGCAAGCGGCGCCGCGGAGTCTAGAATTTCTACGGACGCGCAAGGAAGCTGGGACCGCAGTCAGTCACGTGCAGAGTATGTTGAAGTATACAGTCACCAGCTATTGTTTTTATCATGAATACCTACCTGATGCGAGTTGCATATAGATGAAGACTTTTATTCTTGACCAAATTCCTCAATGTATTACTATTTACAGCTCGATATTTGACCAGAACGAAGCACCTCTCAGCACCTACACCAACAAATGCAAAACGAACCCAGTAAACGAAGTAACCAGGCAGCTCAGCGTCTCTCCTCATAAACAACCTCAAAGTCTCCCAGGTGCACGACATGGCAATCTTTTGTCTCCCTCAAGAACCGCGTCCCATCCTCCCCCTCTGCAAGCTTTACTTGAAACCTCTTGAACAACTTCGCCAACACAATCCGCATCTCGATGTAGGCCAGCCCTCTGCCAGCGCAGGTATATGCACCTGCGACAAACGGCATGAAGGCTGACTTTTTCAGCGTCAGCTCTGGCTCTTCGCCAGTCCAGCGCTCGGGAATGAATTCCTCGGGACGGACATAGTTCCGGGGGTCTCGCTGGACGGGGAGAACAGGGACGCTGATAATCGTGTCGCCCGGGATGAAGACGGTGGTTGTTGATGAAGATGAGGATGCGGTGGTAGAAGTAGGCAATGGGACGTGAATACCCTCGGGGGGCGTTTTGCGTGGGATTTCTCCAGGGACAGGGGGCTGGAGGCGGAGGGCTTCATTGATACAGGCGTTAAGATAAGGAAGAGAAGTGATAGAGCGGTAGTATGAGGCTTCAGGCTCCGAGTCATTCTCTTGATCGTTGCTTTGCTCTCGAAGACGCTGTGCAGCTTCGTCGAGCTCCGCTTGGAGCTTGCGTTGAACAAGAGGGCTGCGTGCGAGGTGAAAGATCACAGTCGCCATGGTGGTGGCCGTAGTGTCTCTATTGTCGAGTCAGATCCGTATTATCTCTCTCCCAATAGTCCTGGGAAAGACATATGCAGCAATTTAGGGGTAGGAAACATACCCTCCGGCAATGACCATCAACTCCCCCTCACTATACAGTGCTGACCTCGACAAATTCACCATCGCCGGCATCATCTTACTCATCGCATCAGTAGCCTCATGTTCCGGCGTATGCAAACGTTGCATCTTCTCCCGGATCCGCGCCTCGATCCACGCGCCGTAACGCTGAAGCGGCGAATCTGCTCCAGGCAGGTTAACCAGAAGACTCATCAGCCACGGCGCCTGCGAGATGATCCGCTGGCCGGCAGTGACCTGCCTCACAAAGTGCAGTGCCGGATTGAGCTTCCAGTTCTCAATGTTCTCGAACGAATACCCCCAGCCAATGAGGCCCATGAGGTCATAACTTAGCAACTGCATTGTATCCGGACCAGAGACCACTTGACCAGCTCGCTGACGTAGAGCATCGAGAAACCGGTCCGTGGTCTTGACGACCACAGGCTGATAGGACTTGAGAGCTAAAGTTCAGTAGCAAAAAGTCAGCACACCCTCACTTCGATCCTCGGCCCATCTCTCATTGATCACTCTTAATGCGAAAAGAGACAAGCAGGACACACAAACCTCGAATATTGAACGCCTTATCCCAGAGCGCCTTTCTGCGCTGCGTATGGGCCACCGGATCTCGCATATGAAACACGGCAAAGTCCTCGGAGAAATCGCCCGCGGCTTTTAAGCGATCATACCAGATGGCCCGGGTACACCGACTCGACGCGCCGTAGATGACCTCGATTGCGTCGGCCGACAAGACGCTGAGTTCCTGGGGCCCCGTTCGGACGATATCGCCATACTGCTTGTGGAGATCCCAGATGCGCTCAAAGTCTCGCTCCTTTCCGATGTTGCCATACGCCGCTACGAGCTTCGATAGCTTCAGGGCGACTGGGCCTGGGAAACGACGGAGGCGGTGGAAGAACGCCCGGTAGATCAGAATGGAGGCGAAAAGAGGAGCGTAGAAGCAGAGGTTCAGTGCAGATATCGCGGAGAGACCGCGGACGAATGCGCCGATACTCCAGGGAGACTGCTGCGGGTGGGTGTTCACCACAATGAAGCCCATAAGGGCGATATTCACAATCACATGCCACAACAACCAGGTACGGATCTCTTTGTTGTTGCGTTCCCCACGGATCCAATAGAGGAGATGGACGCTCACGCCAGCCAAGGCAAGAAGAGGGCCATGCTGTCTGGTGAGGTCAGCCAGGTCGATTGACACGGCCATCATTGACGTTGTGTTAATTGGTCTCTCTTCGCGATGACCCCTTCTGGAAAAAGAAAAACATTAGGGAAAGATACTGAGGGAAGAAGATACGAGAGAAGGATTCTAAATAGTTTCTCATGTCGCAAATTGACAGCGCCATCTCCAGCACTAATCGATAATCCCGACCCTCCTACAACGGTGGGGGGCCTATCATAAGCATGGGAACTCGAGCTGACTTTCAGTTACTAACCTTGAAGTCTACTAAGTCTATTAGCTGAGGCTGAACTTGCCAGCTTGGCCCAATCACACATAAATATCTTATTCAAGTAGATTACGAGAAGAAATCAGCTCTGTCATTGGATGGTTCGGTAATACTGGGCATGGATCCACTTGCTAATTATTCGATCCCAAGGGTCTGTGGTAAGGCACTGAGTCGAGGAGCTGACCTGGAAGCTGGACATTCACAACACGGTCATTTGCATTGGTGGTTAGGGTTATAAGAGGAAAAGTAAAAAGTTAAAGCTACCTACGCATTAGAATACAATGGAGACAGTGTCCAATTCTCATAATAGGCCACCCAGTTTCACATGAAATCGTTGGGAAGCAGTCAGAGAGCAGGCTGATTCGTTTGCCCCCAACTGGACAGATCACTTGCTCCTCCCTCCCTCAACACGCCTGAGTCGCTGAAAGCTGCATAATCAATAAAATAGGTTGGGGAAATAGATTGAGGGGCTATTGTTCTACACATCGACAAGCCGTTGCCGGCCTGGATTGGGAAAAGGGAGACCAACCACCGTAAAAGGGATATCAGGAGTTAACAGACCTGGGCTATGGCAAGCTCAGGCTGATATAGTGAGTCTGGGGAAGAGCTCACGCGTCGCCGTTGACAGGCGCCTGCTGGTAGTAACCAGCATAAGGGTTGGCTTGGGGTGTAGGAACAACTACTTCCGCCGTCGCTGGGGTCACCGGGGCGGCTGCCACCGGGGCTGGTGCTGCCGCCGCCTCAGTAGCCTGCATGTGCGAAACCGAGGCAGGCCCGTGGACCTCCCGGTCAAGGGTCATGTACTCCTTCGCCGCATCCTTGGTGCCGCGTTCCAGGAGATAAACCATGTAGACTTGCACAAGCTCTCGCACTGCTTGAGCGGGAAGGGAACTCTTGGTCCGAATTTCATCGACGACTTGCTTGATGCGCTCGTATTGGACCGTTTCGGAGGTCGAACTCGTGGGCTGATCGATTTCGAAGTGAAGATAACTCGTCCAGAACGGACGGCTGTCCAGGTAGTATTGCTGGTTCTTCTGATAGACTTGACGAGCCTCTTCGGACGAGCCCTTGATCTTCCACAGAAGGCGAGCCCATTCCGCGACGAGAGCCGCCTTTGTGGCGAGGTCACACTGTGGCGAGTCAAGCTGAGTCTTGTACACCTCAATGGCAGCTTCAAGTCCGCCGTGGCGACGCGACATGTTGGCCAAAGACACTATCGTCTCCACGTGGTTGGGCAGATGAATCAGGATGGCCTCGTGAATTTCCTTGGCAACATCCACGCGGTCGCTCATCTCCTCGAAATAGGCATACTGCAGCCGCGTTGTCGGGTTGGCAATAGGCACGTACAAGCAGCTTGCACGTTGGTAGATAATGCGGACTTCCTCATCCTTGCCGGGCTGAGCGGCCATCCAGCGGGCATAACGCTGCCAGAATTCATCGTAGTGAGCGCAAGTCACGAGACACCTCTCGTACAGGAACTGAATACGAGCATAAGATCCCTCGGACTCCTCGAAATCCAAGTACTTCTTCCAGTTCGATAGCTGACCTTCATCCAGCTCAGTAACATGGAAGTATGGACGCTTGATCTCCGACTCGTAAGTCCAACGCTTGGTGGTCTCGGTCTGGGTCTTGGAGAAAATCTCAAGGTGGTGACTATCGACGCGCAGTCGGAGATCTCTTTCAACTTCAGCCTCGGCCTTTGCACCGGGAGCAATCTGACCTGCAGCGGCGTCGAGCTCCGCGCGGAATTGTGACAGCGTTTCGGGCGATGCCAGTTCGGCAACGGGCCGAGCTTGCGCCAATTGTCTATACCGCTCGAAGTACCGAGCATACTGGTGCATGGGGATGTGGATAACCCGACCCAGGATGGCGAAGATCTTGTCAACGGCCTCCACACGTTCCTCGAACTCGATGTACTTATCCCAGAACGGGTGGGCCAAGAAGTCCAAGCCGACACTGCTCGCACCACGTTCAAAAAGCCTGAGCACAAGCGAGAGAAAGGTTAGCAAGCAATTCGACGCTGAAGGTCAAAGACCAATGGGAGGGAGTGGGAGGAGGATGCGGGGGAGGAAGGGGAGAAGATGGCAAGGATAGCAAACATGAGCATCAGATTTCCAATGCCTGCGAGTCCGAACAATTGAACAACCAAGTGGTGAGAACGGTGGGTGGGGACGTCTGTTTTTCCTCCTTCTGCACCGAGCGCAGAGTAGGCGTCACCGAACACAGCCGATGATATTCGTGCAGGGCAAGGTGGTTGAGACGTCAAATCAGATAATTCAAAACTTCTTCTTTCAAAGGGGGGGAGGGAGATAGGACAGCCTGAATAAGCCATGGGTGAGAAGTAAACTCCAGTTTTCTTTTTCTTCGGAACCCGGGTAAGGTGAAATCTCACCCATCATTGAGGGAACTGTTGCCAGCGGAGATTTGCACCCCGCAGGTTCGGCACAACAACAATGTCCGTGCTGCGTTGATCATGGTTACGAGGGCAAGGAAAGGAAAAAGCAGCTCTAGTTATACTTACTCTCGGATCACGTCAGCGTCGTGAGAAGTCTCGGCCTTGAAGGAGCAGTAGTTGGTCCAGAGATCGACCGAGGGGGAGATGCTAGCAACACCTCGCTCATAGACCTGTAGCTGTTAGCGACCACCCGACAGATCGTTAGGAAGCAGGTGACCATGCGTACCATATCTGCAGCTTCGGTTCCGGTGAGGGAAAATTCCAGGTCGGCATACTTCTTCCAGTATCCGAACAGCAGAGGGAACTTGGCCAGGAAGCGATCGTAAACATTGCGGACGGTGGTAATAGCTTGGGGGTTGGAGTTGCGGTTGATGCCACCCTCCAAAGCCTCGGCAGCGCGAACAAGTTTCTCCCATGTCTCGAAGTTATCGGGGTCATCGAGCTAGAAGGAAAAGGCAGGGTCAGCTCGTGGGGTCCTAGAGTAACCTCCAGAGAGCGCAAAGAGCTAGACGGGAGAACCACTTCATACCAATTCAACTTCAAGCTTCCTCAACTCCGCATTTTCTTCCTCGGAGCCTCCATAATTGTAGTCCGCCATGATGGCAGCAGTATGAGCGGGGGTGGTCGTTGTACGGATTTGAAGTTGAAACTCCTAAGAATCCGGGGAGAGATAATCGAGAAAGGAGGAGAGATCAACAAAAGCAACAAAACAACAACAAGAGACACGATCCGACGACAAGGGGGGGTGGGGGGTGGAGAAGAAGGAGTCAAAGTTGGTGAATCCCGCAAGGAGGAAAGGCGACAAGCGTAAGTAGCGAAGACGGATGAACCTTGGACCTTTGCTAGTCTACATACTTGCGGAACTAAGCCTCTTCGGATTTCTGCTTTCTCTGAAGTTTCCCTTCTGCGGGCGGGCATTTTTCTGCCCGTCGCTTCCGCCAGCCCGATCTAACTAACCTTCTGGCTGCCTTCTGCTGCCTCAGGCTTCCGTTTGTTTTCTCTCTCCCGAGTCTCTCTCTCTTCCCTCCCAAAACAGACTAGCGCCGCTCTTTCAACCGTCTGGGTTTTGAATGCAAAGCAAATCACAAGTGGTGGAAAAGATAGCGCGGCAGTTTCCTGAGCACGACTTCAGCGCTTAACTCTTCCCTCCTCCTCCCCCTCCCCTCCCCTCTTTTCACAAGTCCCTCCCCACCTCCAATTCTTCGAGGAGTAACCCACCGAAGGGGAAAAAAAACCCCCTCAATTCCTCACAATGGCCACCCCGCAAGCCGCCAGCAGCCTGGCGAGCAAACTGCCCACGCGCCTCCGCAACTTCTTCGCCCGCTATCCTCCGCAAATCTATTCCACGACCGTCCGCCCTCCGATCACAGTCCCCAAGCCAGCTGCACTTGCTCAGGCGGCGGCCGGCGCCGGCGCCCCTGACACTACGACCACGACGACCACCACCACCACCACAACCACAACCACCACCTCCACCTCCAGCACCACGCCCATCACCGACGCGATCACCGAATCCCTCCTCCCATCCCCCTACACCCCGAACCGCGAAGCGAAGGGCTACCAGCCGCCGGACCACAAGTACTCGGACGCGCTGCTGTGGAAGGGCCCCAAGGGCCAGCTCAACCCGTTCCTGCCGCGGAAGCTGGGCGAGCGGAAGTGGGAGGGCCCTCGGATCGGCCTGCGCCGGCAGGCGGAGCTGGTGAAGCTGGCCCGCCAGTTCGGGGTCGAGGAGCTGCTCCCGCCCAGCCGCAAGTCGGCCGAGTACAAGGAGGCCCGCCGCGCCGAGAACCAGGGCCTGGCCGTCAAGGGTACCGGTGTCGGGCAGAAGGTCAAGGGCCACAAGTGGGAGCGCACCATGGAGGCGCGCCTCGAGGACCGGCGCAAGGCCATGCTCGAGATGCCCGAGATGGTGCGGTTGTGGAAGCAGGTACGTTTTCTTGTTCACCCACATCAGTTGGGGCTTTATGAGTTAGGAGAGGGGTGTATATAATTGGATTGCTAATGCGTTTTTGTTTTAACTACAGAGAGGTCATGGTCGTGGTTGGAAGCAGTGGCCCAAGAAATAGAGCGGTCTCTCGCTTTCATTTCTTCTTGGCGGGGCTTTATGCACCCCGTTCTTTTGCCGCGCTTCTCGTCTCGATACGGTTTCTCCGAAATCAACTAATGTTTGGAGGTTATTGGGGGCTGACTTCCAGGGCCTGGGATGGATTCGGGTTACTACATGACCAAACCCCACCCTCGCTTCTTCGGGTGAGCTTTGATTGATCATCAGCCTCATTCATCATCATCGTCATCATGTTTCGGAACGGGAGTTATCTGTTTGTACAAATCGCTATATTGTTCTATATCAAGTCATGCATTTGAGTGCCCTATCCCAAATATTCAATTCCACTCTGCTTATCCGGTATCTGGTATTGCACACAACCCAAATGCCCTTAAAACGCCCTATAATCATATGCAAAAGATAGCCCCATAGTCCGACTATGCAATCTGTCACGGGCCATAAGACGGATCCACAGTATCACCAACCATGACCGTCCGAGATACGGCGGAGGCCTCCTCCTCGTCCACGGCCCCCAACGAAGCCAACCCAAGATGCCGTCCGAAGTAAATTTTATTCCCGACCTTCCGCGTCTTCGCCAACGTCGAATAGGGCTCATCTCCACGGACGCCAGTGTACTGGTCCACGCAGACCATCTGGCACCGTTGACACGACCCTAAAACATTGAACGGGACACCGTTGGGGCCACCAATGCGCACGCTCTGCCACTCATCTTCAACGTAAGGCCTCTCGGCGTTCGCCGACCTGGGGATTCTCTCTGCGACCACGATGTTGGCGCGGAACACATCGGCGGCGACGGCCTTTTTGTTGCTGCTGCCATTGCCGCCGCCGCCGCCGCTCGCGGTGTTGTTGCGCTTGATCGCCTCGTTCAGACGGTTGACGGAGGAGCGCGAGATGAGGAGGATCGGACTCTCGTTGGACAAGAGGATGGGATTCTGCGGCGACGCCAGCTGGGAATCTTGCGGAAAGGAGCCGGGCATTGTCATCCGCGCTCGCAGAGGCGAGTTTCTATTGATGAGGGGGCCGGTTGAGGAAGCAGATCTCGCCGTTGACGATTGTGGGGGGAAGCGCGCGAGGGTGCATGGCACACCCAGAAAGTTGGAGAAGAAAGAGGAGACTTCGTGCGATGTATAGGCCTGCACGATGACTTGGTCACCACAGACGGTGGAGGGCTTGGAGGAGTTCTGACATAGCGAGGTGGACACGAGGTTTAGGTTCCCACGATGAAGGGGGATTTCTAGGGATTTTCCATGTGTAAAGGGTGCGCCGCCGCAAGTGATCCGCAAGAACCCGCCAGCAAGGTCGATGGCCGGCCGTATCAGCGCCATGCGCGGATATCTCTTCTGGTTGAGCGCCACACCAGTTCCCTGATGGATCAGACACCATTCCCTGTCCCATGCCAGTCCCTCCGGGTGGATCTCCCAGCGTTTACCGTCAGGCACTTTGAATGCGGCGCAGCTCTTAATAGGGTAGATTGATAGACTCTCCACATAGAACTCTGGCTGCTGGATGAGGTTGTTGACCCCTGGGGGTGCCAGAGTACACACGTCGAGACTCTTCTCCACAAAGAACTCTTCCAAGAAAGCCACGAAAGTGTTGATATCCCTTGAACTGCTCATCGCACCAAGACTGGCCCTCAAAATGCCAGTCGGTCGGCCGTCCATAATGTCATGATCATCACCGCAACGCAACCCATGGGAGAAATGCCGGAGCATGTCGGCACCAGTCCAATCCAGACTAGCCGCTGTGCCTCCAGGGTTGCAGAGCGTACCAGATCTGATCTGAATGTTCTTGACGCCTGCCAGTCTCTCCACCTCGGACTTACCAATCCAGGTACCCTGACTATTCCGCAGATTGAATGCCAGAATCGGACCCTGCGAAGACGAATCACTATAGTCCGCATGGGGCGACTTATAAACATGGCAGACTCTCTCCCCGTTATGATGCCGCAAAGCAACCATACGATCATGTAATTTCCTGGCCAAGAAGCGCGTGTGCGACGAGACATTGCTCATCGAGCCGAAGAGGCGCGCGTGCGTTTCAAAAGCCAGATCCAGCGCGATTATGTTATGAAATGGCAGAGTCCCATCTTCCAGCCGTTCGTGTATCGAAGACTGCTTCTTCGCATGCCAAGGCGTCTCTTGCGTGAGAACCATATCCACCGTCCCACCACCAAAGAACCTCCGCTTATCGAAGATCTGTCCTGCACTCTTGCGGACAATCAATGCCCCAATATCCGGGAATCCGAAGATCTTATAGAAACTGAGCGCCGTGAAATCGGGTGCGTTTGCCGCGTCGCTCAGATCGAGTGGAGATGTGGAGACCAGGGAAGCAGCATCGAGCATGGTATAGACCCTCTGGGAAGACATGGTACGGATCCTTCCACACCATTGGAGCGGAAACCGACGACCGTTCATGTTCGACTGCGCAGGAAACGCAAACAGCCGGTTGCCCTCAGCGGAGGCAGAACCCAACTCTGACATCCAGCGCTCGACCTCGTTGTCGGACATAAAGCATCGACTCCCGAGCGCTGCGAGCTCACGAGCCCCAACCAAGCTCGTGTGCGCGTCGACATGGTATCCATACCAGAACCCTTGGGTTGTTGCATCACGGAGGGCATCGGCGACTAATTTGATAGCCGCCGTAGCGTTGGCCACAAAGACGAGATCAAATTCTTGGGGGTCAGCGTTGAAGAATCGAAGAGCTCTTAGACGTGTGTCGTCTATCCGCTGCGTCGATAGTTGGGAGGGCGCAGAGAGTGAATGCGGGTTGCCGTAGATGTTGGAGGTGAGGTCACGCGAAAACGAGTCGATCAGAGACTTTGCATATAGGGTCGTCCCGGCATGATCAAGGTAGGTGATATCTAGAGAAGCCGAGGGTATCAATATATTGCTCTTTCTTGTGTGTAAGGCTAGCTGACTCCAATAGTCGAACCTTTCAGCAAGGGATATTCGCGCTCCCGAATGACATCAATGTCTTCCGGATAGCTTCGACTGTATTCAAACCCTACTTCTTTTGTTCCATGGTCACCCATCTTGCCCAACAGTCTGCAGCAGCGTGAGCAGCATCAGAGCTTTAAAAACAATTGTTTGTGGAGTATACAGTCGAGGTGGGCATCGCCGTGGAGAATCGAGATCGGGGTGGCGACCGGTTGTTCTTGCACGCTCACACATACAATGATCGGGAGGGAGCTTGCGTGATGACCAAGTAAGGAAAGATTCAAAATAAAGAAGAGTTGGATAATGGCGAAATCTGTAGTCACACGTAGTTATCGAGCAAGACAAGACGGGATGATGGTGTCAGGAACAAACGCCTAACTAATACTTTATTTCAATGACTTGGGCCGATAAGTTAAGGCTGGTTATCGGAGCTTACCGAAGTTGAGCTCCAACGGTTCGCCACCGACAATTATTCAACCCCCGGCAGCAGGAACATCCAAAAAGTCAGAAGAATGTTCCTAAGGGAATAGCGGGGAACTGTTAGGCGACCGAAAATTAGAAGTTGAGCAGAAATCTGTGTGACAGTGCGAAAGGTTATACTTTGTTTTTAAGGCACTGGGGCGGAGGAGAAGTCAAACTCCCCCACTCCTGCTTTCTTATCGAGCGCGGGGAGCGGCGGCCAGATCCGATGATCCTGGCTTGCATCATTCTTCTTCAGGACTAGATGATTTCCTCAAAAGTGGAGGCCTCAATACAAGGCACAATGTACGATGTAGATATTTATTAAAAAACAAAATCATATGACACATAGAACAGCCGTACGAAGCATTAACATCCCCAGGGCTGCAATCGAGCACAAATCATGCGGTATATCTTTCAGAGAGAAGCACAGTCAAAGTATGTGCTTGGGCTGGTAGGTAGATGCAAAAATGATATCAAAGGAAACAGTGTCTCGTAAGTCGTGAGCGTGATCGCATCTCTCCATGGGCCTAACCCCTAAAACGGCCCTCTGTGCATCATCAATAATTTCCATCATGAACCATATACCATTCCATCGTAGTCCGTAAAGTCGTAAATAGAGAAATCAATCCTAGACTTCATAGTGATGTCGGCTGCGTGAGCTGCTATGGCGCCTATGACCGCGTCGACTGCTGTGACTGCGGCGCCGCACAGTCGTCTCCTTGACAACCGTGTCCGGTCGGCGGTAGATCATCATCGCCAGTATCGCCGTCCAGAAGAATAGGATCACCTCGATTATCCCCAATGCAAAGCAAGCTTTGAGCATCGCGCATGTTTTGTTGATGTGGAATGACAGCGGATTGTCCGAGGTGTAGCCATAGTATCCGAAGGGACCAAGCGAAATGTACACTGAGCCTCCATTCCAGTGCGCACAGTCGGCATTCGTGATGAATCGCAGTTCGTAGACCCCTGCGATAAATGCGCCGAAGAATAGTAGATCCACGAAAGCGACGAACATCGCTGAACGTCGAGTGGTTGAAATACGAATCATGGTATCGATACACCAGAAAGCCGCAATGACGCTGACAATGAAAATGACCAGGATATAGGCCGGGGTAATCATGTTTGCGTTCAGATAGCCGTTGACAAAGTAGGCCTATCGTGCGGATGTCAGTTGCATTACTCGGGAGGGCTCAATTCTAGCTGTGGAATGTGCCTACCATCATTCCGATGATCGGAATTAGAAGAATAAGCTCTAAGAGCCGATTGAGGATGAAGAAGAGACTGCCAATCATCTTGCCTGTTGTTATTCGCACAATGCGCGCGAATCAATTCGACTTAACAGTTGCTGAATTGGCTGCAAGAAGGTCTATCGAAATTCAAGATGGCTGCAAGATCAGATAAAACAAACGGGCTGGCGAACAGCTACAACGTCATCATACACTCAGTGAAGAATGGCGATGGACGGGGAGGGCGATAGGAATGAAAATGAGACCAAGGTTGGACGGAACAAGGTACAACCAGGCTCTGACGTTGCGCCGGACGACGTATAGCGAGTAGTGAGGGGATCGGTTAGGTGCCGATCTAAATGCAACTCGATTTTTTGGAAACGCACGAGAGAGAAACCCACACGCAGTTAGATAAAAGAGAAGCAAGGGTGCAGATGATGCATCCCAGAAGACAGAACTCAACAGGAGAAAACTGGTAGTTGGGAAGAAAAGAATGGGTCGGTCGGAGGAAGAATATGCACGTCGGAGAAAGGAAGAGGGGAGGCTGGGCGACTGAGGACGCGGGGTGGCTGGGAGAACAGTCGATGAAGGTCGTTACAAGGGCGGCTCGCTGCGTCTCACCATAGCCTGACTATGATGACATTGAAGCGGTTGACCTTCCAATTAAGCCGTACGTAGATATAGACTAAGTTAGTTCAAGGGTAACGGTACCTTATTTGTTTTTGGTCCATGAGCATCATGGCATTGTTATGATTGTTTACTGTAGCAACAATAACAAGACCCGGTCATCGGTGGGGCCGCCACGAGGGGAAGAAAGAAAGTCTAGAGCCAGCCGTCAATGATCATCAGGGACAACCTCAATTACTCGATCGATTATCATGGAGTAAGTATCCGAGGCGAAGAGAGAGTCAGTCGGCGTCAGCGAGGTAATCATGACTTTCTAGAAAACAGATAGTGTAGCAAAGTATGTACATTGTGTACAGTTTGTACAACCTGTACAGTACATGCCGCAAATACTGCGCTGTGATCACCGCCAGCGGTTTCATCATTGATCCACTCATTGGGGAGTAAATCCTCATAAAAAGCCCACTTACCGCCCGCGAATCCATGGTCGTAAGTAGACCATAGAACTTCTGGCCATTCGGAGCGAATGTTGTGGTCTCTGTCATTTCCCCGCCTGTTGTTTGAACTCAATAATATACCCTCCGTGACTGATAGCCACACTTTTCCCCGAAAAAGAAGAAAGAAGGCAAGACAAAGAGAGAAAAATAAGCCAAGATCATCATCACAGTATGAGCCCGAAAATGTTCCATGCAAGTGTACTGGTATATGTTCTATAAATGGCAACATAATGAATCCCCCTCGCATTGAGGCGACCGGGGTAGCCCCGTCCGGTGCCTTAAACTTCCCGCGAATGCAGCTCAGTCAGATCCCGCCCTCGATCAAGCTGAGCAGTCATCACTCGTGTGGGTGCATGGAGAGCTGTGGCCGCCTGTGGTCGTTGCGAGTCATACGTTGTGTCGACCTCGTATTGTGGAATCGATCCATTCAGTCCTGGGTTGCGTGCTCGAGCATACCCAGACTGCATCTCATAGCCATTTGCGTGAACGTCCTCGCTCGATGAGGACCAATTCCCGTCCTCATCCTGTGATCGACGAGTGTACATATTTGTAGCGTAGGGATTGGATGTGGGGATATAAGCCGCGCCATTGTCTGCACCGACCATCGGCTTTGCCTGGCTGTCTTCTGCCGGGTGACGGAGCGCGGCAGTACTATCTTCGAATCTCACCATGTTCAATGGATTCGATGGGGGTAGCGGCTCGGTCCCCCAGCTGCGGATCGGATGCGCGCGACCTTTCTTCCAAGGCTGCGAAAGAGGTGGGAAATACTGATGATAGGAGATAACGGCGCAGAGGATCCCGAGAAGCGATCCAGTGATGACGTCGAAGGGGTGGTGTCTCGCATCCATAATCCGACTCACCGCAACGAGAGTAGCACCCAGGCTCGGTATCATGACCAAGAGTGCTTTCCAGACCTCACCTTTGTTGTCCATTATATGCAGTTTGCCACTCATCCAGAGTGTCAGGTAGAACAAACCAGCAAACGACGCTGTAATTTAGGTCGAGTCAGGAATCAGTTCCAATCATTTGGCATTGCAGAGACAATCTTACAGCTACTGTGGCCTGTTCTTGTAAGTCAGCATACGATCAGTTTCAAAGTGTTTGCAGTATTGTCGAACCTGATGGCCATGAACGGAAGCCGTCTTTGATGAGCGCATGTTCGCCCGTGCAGATGGTAGAGTTAGACAAGCCTGGGATTGCATCCTGGCTTCCTGCGCGAGGCTGGCACCGATCAATGAAATCCGGCCGAGGCTTGCCACAGGCGTTCTTCAATGCTTGCGTGATGACGAACGTCAGCCCCTGAGAGAGCAGGAGCCCCAGTATCCCACAGTTAAACTCCCATAGTCGATCCTTCCACCGATACGGGCCTGAGAATTTCCGTTTGCCGGATACTGCATCCTGTGGTTTGTTGTGGGAGAAGAGACCATCTATAAGAAGGGTATAGACGGCAATGATGACTAGAGGCGCCACTCCAGAGATACAGAGAGCTTCCTGTATCGTGATACGCTCATGAACGGCATATGGATACTGGATGGAGATATTTCGTAGCGAGAAATGTTGGTGGTAGGGTTCAATGGAGTCGAGAGCATAGAACCCTGCAATACAGACACTGGTACAGTCTTGTTAGCAGGAATTCCTGGCGGTCAGTTCATGATGTGGACAAACACGAGTATAACATAGTCCGCGATGTATCTGGAGCGAGACGAAAGCGTTAGCCATTACTTTTGGGTTTGGGGATGAAGTAAGTAGGCAAAGCAAGCCTCCGTCTGGACTTACGAAAGCACAACCCGCGGTCTCAGGCGCTGCTTGGAAAAGAGCAGCTTGTCCGGCAGGCGATTCATCATGCAATGAACGCAGCGCCTAGCGATATTCAAAATTCCAGAATCAAAGCAGATAACCAAGAAACAAAGCTATGTCTAGCAAGTAATTTGTTGATACTGTTGTTGAAAAATTACGTCTGATGGCTGTGGTGTAGGGAAATCGAGCACGTGAGGGGATCGATCAATCAGCTAGGTTGCTGCCATTCGAAACACCAATCAACAAAGGAAGAGGAGTCCAATTGAAAGAAGACCCAAATGCTACCAAACGTCTGTCTACAATAGGCAGTGGACGAAACGTACGAAGTACAGAAGATGAAAGGGAGAGATAATTGAGAGAAGAAGTCAAGAAATCTGAAAAACGTTTGCTTTATTGCAGGCCCGCGGGTGGGCGAACTTAAATGGTTGGGGGCATCGCCGCACGATCAGCGTGAATGAAGCCTTGGTCTCTTGGTATCAGCGGCTGAGTATAAATACAGGTAGTTTGGGGGGGGCCAACTGGTAAGTGGTAAGTGGTACGGAGTAAGTTACGGAGGATTGACCGCCCCAAGGACAACCGCCTACAGCCTCCACCCCCGCAATGTTTGACAAGCCGCTCAGCCACTTCTGCACGTACTGTACACGCCATAGGGCTGCTGGATGCCGATTGCGAATTTCAGAGAAATAATAATAGGTATCTTGGAGCTGTCACAACGAGTCCCCAAATCATCAAAACACACACTCGATTCCTTAGTAAGACCGCATACATATCATTAGATTAAGTATATTTACTTTGTTCCTATCTAACTCCTCTGAAAACGAGCCATCACTTAGTAATACGGATATCATATCTTAAGAAGAAGTCCAACCCTTGGTTCGAACACTAGTTGCGTGCATTAGACTATACCGTCCAGGAAAAAATAATGAGTTGGTATCCGGCGGGATCTGGAACCCACATACAAAAATTACCAACCCTGAAATGATGCTGCCTAAAGTCTTGTCTTTCTTAGGACTCCACCCGGAGACCAGCTCATCGTACTAGCTAACCACGAGTCCAGAATAACTGCAAAGATTCGTCACTGGCAGTCATGAACCGAATGACATTCGATATTGTACAATATCACTAAAAACTACCTTGGCTGGCCGTAAGACAGCCACTCATTCAGAAACCTCTTATAACCGTCTGACCATCATTGCCGGCTCTCATCTGTGTTCCATAATCAAAGAAAATAATCATATTGCCAGAACTAGAAGGGAATATTCAGTATAAATTAAGAAACGAAAAGGAGTAAAGTATGGGTCCAGGATTCATGTTCGCGTTTTGTCCGAAGGATAACCCGTCGAGAGAAAACCAAGTTAACAGACGGTGATAAACAGACCGAGACTATGGCTTATGGTTAGCTGAAGGTCTCTCAATAGACGTTCATCAGAGTATACTCACGGAGATGGGTTATAGTCCTCGAAGAAGTTGAGGTAGGTGTTGCCGGTTCCCTTCATTTCATAACCCACGGTTTGACCAGCCGGGCACGAGAAAGAGGCAACCAAGTAGGAATTTCCGGGTGAAATGGTGATTTCTCCATAGTCCTGTTTGACCGACGGAGCGGTGTTATAAGTGGTCTTCAATCCAGCAGCAGAGGTCAGCTGAGAAAAGTCAACCTTGCCGTCACCACTGAAGGTGTAATCAGAGGTCTCAAGGTCCTCCTTGTTAGGGAACAAGAAGATGAGGCTGCATGTCTTGCCGGAGTCAGAAGATGGGATATCAAAATTGAAGATGGTCGACACTGTGGACGAAACGGTGCCGAAGAGCTGAGAGCCATAGGCGGTATCAGGGGTGGAGGAGTTGACAGGAACAATGAGATGAGGATACTCATAGTCACCAGACAGATCAGTCGGGCAGCTGGCAGCGCCTGACCGAGTAGCGGAAGCTGATGATTGAGTACTGCTGGCGCCTCCGGATGTTCCTGAGGGAGCAGGTTGAGTGCTCGCAGGCTGGGTTCCGGTGGATTTAGTACCGGCAGGCTGAGTACCAGCGGGCGAAGTGCCAGCGGGCTTGGTGCCTGCAGGTTGAGTTCCACCAGGTGCAGTTCCAGCGGGCGGAGTACCGGCGGGCGAAGTGCCTGCAGGTTGAGTCCCACTAGGTGCAGTCCCGGCGGGCGGAGTACCAGCGGGCGAAGTGCCTGCGGTCGGAGTTCCACTAGGTGCAGTGCCGGCGGGCGTAGTGCCGGCGGGCTGAGTTCCACCAGGTGCAGTTCCGCCGGGCTGAGTTCCAGCGGGCTGAGTGCCTGCAGGTTGAGTCCCACTAGGTGCAGTGCCGGCGGGCGGAGTACCGGCGGGCGTAGTGCCGGCGGGCTGAGTTCCACCAGGTGCAGTGCCGGCGGGCTGGGTTCCACCAGGTGCAGTTCCGCCGGGCTGAGTTCCAGCGGGCTGAGTTCCAGCGGGCTGAGTTCCAGCGGGCTGAGTACCAGCTGGTTGAGTGCCGGCAGGCTGAGTTCCACCGGGCTGAGTAGTATGAGGGACACCTGGAACACTAGTTCCAGGAATTGGGATCGGAACAGGAACAGGCTGGGTACCAGCAGATTGAGTCACGCCAGGCTGACCGGGCCGAGTGCTAGCGGGTTGGGTGCCAGCGGGTTGGGTTCCACCAGGTGCAGTTCCGCCGGGCTGAGTCCCAGCGGGTTGAGTTCCAGCGGGCTGAGTACCGCCAGCGGGCTGGGTGCCAGCTGGCTGAGTTCCTGCAGGCTGAGTTTCGGCGGGCTGGGTGCCAGCGGGCTGGGTGCCAGCGGGTTGAGTACCGCCAGCGGGCTGAGTTCCAGCTGGTTGAGTGCCAGCTGGCTGAGTTCCACCTCCGGGCTGAGTGCCAGCGGGCTGAGTTCCTGCGGGTTGAGTGCCGGCAGGTTGTGTGCCGGCAGGTTGTGCACCCTGAGGAACGCCAGGAACACTAGAACCAGGAATTGGAATCGGCACAGGAACACCAGAAGTTCCTGCTGCGCAATTGGATTGCATCACGGTAGTGGTGACGGTAACTGTCTGAGCGGAGGCACATCCAGTGCCAGGCACTGGTGCACTGGAGACAGGTCCACCCGGTATGGAAGCAGAAGATTGACCTGGGGAAACCCCGCCAGGCACGGGTGCACTTGAAGCAGCGCCACCCGGAATGTAGGAAGATGATTGACCTGGAAGAACCGAGCCGGGTTTGCCAGACTGGCCGGGCACCTGAACCGATGACACTGCCGTAGCTGTGCCGCCGCCGCCACCAGCACCAGCACCGGAACCCGAGCAAGAGTCGGCGGCCAGCGTGATGCTCGAGCAACCAGTCACCGCGGAGCTCTCAGTGGTGTAGATGTTCAATTCACCGTTGTCACCCGTCTGGCATGCCACAAATGTAGAGTCGCCCTGGTACTCCAGCTGACCGCCGGACGAAATTGAGAAGCCAGTCTGGGCGGTAGAACCCAATTCACACTGGAACTGGGTCACAGAACCTGTCGACGTACAACTGATTAGCATTGTTTCTCGCTTTAGCATCGTCCGATTTCAAGACTTACTGGTCACGACACAACCACGTCCGCTGCTGTCAGTAATCGCACCGTTCGAATCGATGCAGAACGAGGCTGCAGAAAGACCACCACCGAGGCGATTCTGGCCATCACCAAGTTGGCCTACCGTGCCAGATGCGGCGCCCGAAGCAGTCAGGTGGAAGCAACATGAGTCGGCGCGGCTGACGAGGGCATTTCCTCCAGCAGCGAAAGCTGCGAGAGTTGCAAAGTTCTTCATCCTTGTACTAGCGAGCTTGGTCGGCAGCTAGGGGGTGAATGGACTGGACGGCTTCCAGTATGGTGCAAGGTCGTTGTTATGACAAGAACTCAAAAGCGACGTTCAGGGCATGTGCAATTCTTTATAAGAGATAGTGGACACAACCAGGAACGTCATACTATCTGTTCCGACACAACAAACAGGTCCCAGGGAACACGATCAAGTACCTCCACATGTAGATCGAGAGCATTGAAATAGACCGCAGCTAGTTGCAATGACTCTGCAGGGTCGACGAGACCATGGGCCCGATGAAGGGCCACCATGGGCCCAGCCAGACATGGCCGACGAGCGAACAGGCAGTCAGCGAATTGGCCGGCAGTCTCGGGTCTGGACACTGTCGTGGGTCGGCAAGAGCACTAGAGTAAACGTCATAAAGTCCTGAGTATTGTGGATATGAGAACCCTTGTGAGTGGCTCTTGTTTGGTAAGTAAGGCAGTACTGCAAAAAGGCAGCCGAATTAGTGGCCGGGGTATCTCAGGGCTTCTTCAAGCTCGGTGGAGCCGGCCCCATCAAGCGGTGCCTTTGGATCGGCCAGATACCCTGCCTTGATCGATGAGCTCCCGATTGATGGGATGTGCAGCGGGTCAATTGCGACTCTGTGGCAAAATAACATACCATCCACGGGTTTTGTCCGCCGTTCAGCGACCCATAGCAGGATCCATATCTGCCTCGCATCAGGAACTGGACATTGGCGTTCCCAGGAACGTGTTGTTTCTATTCATATTCACCCACTTGACAGGCAAGCAGAAACCCATCATCACGGAGCATATAGTGGGATACGCTTTGTGTGTATGGAGTATAGTCAAAGTACGATACGCGCAAGAACAAGCAAGTCCGCGTAATGGAAGAGTGCCTTCCGATCAATGCCATATGGCAAGTGGACGACGGCAATGTTGGATTCCTCTTCGAAGACGTATTGCATCATTCCTTCCGTGTACAGGCCGTGTTTGGGATGAGTCTCTTCCACCATGGTGTGCGGAGTAGTGCGATGACCAACAATTCGGCTGGACAGGAGGTTTCCGTCAGAGACATCAACAGCCTAGGATAGGCGAGATTCCCACCCGTCTGCATGTCATCATGGGATAGTTGAATGTGATTGCAGCATCAGAATTCCGGTATGGAGGGGGTGCGGGGTGTGTGGGTGTGTGGGAGGGTGTGGATGATGTGGATGAGATGAATCGGGGAGAAGAAAGAGTTTCAATCCAGTTGAGTTCGCTTCATCTGAAACAGACAGGAAAGCCAAGTGACGGAGACACCGGAACTCATTCGGTGGAGTGGGAGGAGTGGGAGGAGTGGGACTCTCAGCAGGGGAAAAACAGGGGATGCAGCCACTCATCGGCCAGCCACATCAGCCATTCTTCTGCAAGTGGGCCATGACGAAAGCCACAGCCAACGGCATTGCTTCTGGTTGGATTGTTTTGATGGGGATGTGCATTGCATTCATCATCGCCATCATCCAAGACTATTTTTATTTCTCAACTGCTCATCTAATGACAATCGCTAAGAATTATCTCAATGCCCTTGTTCAACGCCCTTGTTCCATTCCATATTTCTCTGTTTTCTAGGTAGAGGCTGTGTCGATCGACTTACTACGTCATTCGCAATTGTGTGTATGGCGGTGGTTGTCTGCGCGCTACAAGCTCACAGCACAGTCTGAGCGAGGATGCATTGTAGAAAAAAGAGCAATTGAGTGTCATGTACAGTACACAGACCATACAGCCCTGTGCGTCTGGGCTCCATAAGGTTTAGCCTAATTTTGAATGGTGGATGTATAGCTTCAGTTCTTAATTCCGCCTTGAGCTTTTTATGCATAACGTCGCATACTATTGTTTTGCAAACCATTATATGAAGATGATATTACATATATTCGAGACCTGGCAGAGTCCTCACATGCTCCTCTAGTGAAGCTACTTAGCTACCTACAAATTAACTCTGATTCCCAGTTGACTGACACAAGTAATACTTAGATTGTCTCTACATCTACACATGGAGTTGGACATCCAAAGCAGTACGAATGGTTGTCTTAGATGGTCTTCTTTTCCTACTGAATATAGATTTCACTTAGTTTTTTTTCCCCTATTAAAGCCCAAAGTGATTTAGCATTGGACGTAACGTTATAGCACTTCGTAATGTACATACACTGAGAATCTCAGCTCTTCCCCGCGCACAGGGACCGTTACGTATGCTTCTGCCATCATGACCCCCTAGTTCAAGTAGGTCCTTCCCATTCGATCCATCATCCCACTGGATGGTAATCTGGACAGCCGAAATGGTACAAATTCGCAGATTCCTGCCGGCAGGTCTCGGGTTTTCAAACTGGATTTTGACCAGCCATTCTAGCCTTTGGAGTCAAGAATACCGGACCCACACTATCCAGGACTCTCAAGTGCCAGAAGGGAAGGGAAACTTCCATCGGCTTATTTAAGAAAAAAAATACACAAAAAAAAAGAAAGAAGTATCACATCCGATCCACCCACATCTTTGAACCTGTCCGCTCGAGAATTGACAGCCGTCACTGATTCCCAAGCCAGTCTTCCCCTCTCCATGGACCGTGGATAGACCATGCGCTGCATAGTTCTCTCCCCTACTACAAGATTCTGTCAAGCGCATAAACATGGGGAGCTGGACGAGAAACATTGCATACGAGTAGCATGTTGGGGAAACGCAATTGTGCTGTACTCATACGAGCCGATTCCCTTCCCCTCCCTCAGCATGTCTTACATGCATGGTCCACTTGTCAATGGCTCGTCATAACAAGACAAGTATCCGTACTCGTACTCAGTAACTCACGCTGATCGGTTGACTGTACCTGCCTGGAGAGACTATGGGTTGCCAATTGCTCCGTCGATTGGATGGAACAATGGGCGGAGAGTGCCATCAATCCATGGATAAACAACACTGACGTCGACGCCAGTTGCAGATCACTTCCACTAAGACATGTATTTCCCGCACTGTAGGAATCAGTATTGCAGGAAGGGGTACGCAAGCGATTCTCCACCTACATGCAGGGAATCATAAACTTGTCGTTCTAGCTTGACTTACAAATATCAAAGACTAATTGAGAGGTGAGGTTGCCCAACCTAGGTCAATTGCATGGAGCTTCCTACGGCAACAAAACTATGTTATGTGGCATTGGCTGGATTTCAGCGAAACAGGTGCCGTGATCTGCTTGTTCAGATTGTTGGATGAGGATGAATAAATCGAGCAAGAAGGTTCGAAGGCGTTGAGTCATGACCGCTGATGCACGAGATAGAGTAGCATATTCTACGTAGATGGCGCCTCCAGGGTCGGGTTCTGGGATAATCGAAGGGATGTTGAGGGTGAAACGTAACCGTATAACCATCTCTTACTGTCTGTAAGTACTCCGTAGAGCCCAATACATCCAATAATGGAAATGCAGTCAGAGAGCCCTTGGTCCTTGATCTTGGACGTTCAGCGTTATGAGCATACCACGAGGTACTGTATGCTCAGTCATGAAGCTGAAGTCCAGTATCTACAGAGAAATTCCTCAATGCAGTATATCAATGTGAGAAAAAATGAATATATTTTCCCAATCACCATGCAATATACATAATGGGTATCTGACTTCCAATTGCAATGATTTTTTTTATTGGCCTACCTCATGCGCGCGGCCTTGAACTTACTCACACGCCTAGGAGCCTCTTCTGTTTCGAGAGGGACAATTTCGGGCTCTTCGTCAACGAATCCGCCTTGTTCCTTGATCATGCGATTGCGGATTTGGTAAAATTCAGTAGCAATCTCCTTCCGATGCAGTTGTTCATCGAGCTCGTCTGGTTCCGGTGCCACGGCGGACGTCTGCGAAACCTCACGTTCAACAAGGGTATCTGCCAGAATTTTGCCTTCTGGGCCTCTGGGTGCGGGGTCTTCCTCGGGATCAGCTGAGATTGGCTGGGAGAAGGGTTTAGGCTCCGCTGGCCTGGCAGGGAAAAGAGGCAGAGAGGATGGCGCGGGAGAGGGGGTGCCAGTCTTGCGTAAAGACGAGCGAAGTTCGACGGGCCGGGAAGGGCCAGCTGAAGTCTCTGACGCAGTGGCTGGGTTGACTGCGCTGTCGTCCGTTCTCCGGGCGCTCTTGAACCGAGAGACTTTCTTCGGTGCGTCTTTAGTTACTGGCTCCTTTGCAACAGGCTCTGTACGTTCAACCACAGAATCTGCAAGAACAGGTACAATAGATTCACGAACTGGGACAACCTTCTTATCCTGGGTCGGAGGCTTCGGGGCCGGAGCAATGTCGAGGTCGTCAGCAAAGGCAACCTTCTTTTTCGGCTTCTTCTCGAGCACAGGTCCGGTGCCTGTCTCGGTGGTCTTCTCAACACGAACCACACTGGGCTGCTCCAACTCCGCTTTGACATCAGTTGGGAGAGAGTCGGTGTTCTTGCCAATGTTCCACAATCCTCGCGCGTTCAGCTTGGCTTCCAACTCTCGCATTTCGCGGTGGTAATCCTCATCAAGAACACGTGTCGTAGTTCTCCCATATTCGTCTTCCTCCTCTTCGTCATCGTCGTAAGGGTAATCATCATATTCTTCGTCCACAGAAACGTCGCTTGCATCCTCGTCAAGTTCCAATTCGGCCACGACCGCTCCAACTTCATTCAGGCTGTACTGTAGCATATCGCGCCGTAACTGGGCATCCTCTGGCGATTCCTCAATGCTTGCTGCAAGACGTTGGTACTCTAGGAGACCAGCTGCATCCATTGAGGGAGGCTTAGGGTTGTTCTCGGGAGTAGTCGCTTCTGGCATTTCCTCCTCCTCAATAGCCTGGGGATTTACCTCCTCCACCTCGATTGCAGTCGGAACTTCTTCCGTAGCGGGTGCTTCCGTAGTCCTTGCAGCATGCTGCGACGAGTCTTGATGTGCCGTATTCACATTCGCCGTGTCCGGTATATCGCTGACACCGGCTTTTTGCAAGATATTCAAAAGCTCAGAAGCCTGGCTGCCCGGCGTGTTTGTTGTGCTCGAGACGATATTACCGTTTTCGTCAAGTTCTTCAAAAATCTCAGTCATCGGAAATTCGGCCGTACTATCACTCGGTAGTTGCTCCTGTGAGTCCAGCGCATACAATTCGTTCT